AATAGAAAAATCCATATAAATTTGGCAAGTTTTTTGATGATTTTAAAATTTGACCAAAAAATGAGATAATACCTCTAGAGCTCGAAGCTAATACTAAAAAAAATTATAATTTATGCATTACAGAAAAGTTTTTTTGACATGAAACTCTTACAAAGGATTATACATGCAAATAGAAATATCCATGTCAAATTGGAAAATTTTTTGATGAATTTAATATTTGGGCAAAAAATGTGATGGTATCCCTAGAGCTCGGGGCCAAAACTAAAAAAATTATAATTTAGACATTACTGACAAGTCTTTTTTAAATAAAACTTTAAGAAAGAATTTTACATGCAAATATAAATATCCATGTCAAATTGGGAAACTTTTTGATGAATTTAAAATTTGGTCAAAAAGTGTGATGGTACCCCTAGAGCTCGAGGCCAAAACTATAAAAATTATAATTTAGACAATACTGACAAGTCTTTTTTATATGAAACTTTTATAAAGCATTTTACATGCAAATATAAATATCCATGTCAAATTTGGCAAATAGTTTGATTAATTTAGAATTTGGCTAAAAAATGTAATGGTACCCCTAGAACTCGAGACCAAAACTAAAAAAATTATAATTTATACATTACTGACAAGTCTTTTTTACATGCAACTTTTACAAAGGATTTTACATGTAAATATAAATATCCATGTCGAATTTGGAAATATTTTTGTTGAATTTTAAAATTGGCCAAAAAATGTGATGGTACCCCTAGAGAGCTCAAGGCCAAAACTAAAAAAATTATAATTTAGACATTAACGACAAGTTTTTTTAACATGAAACTTTTACAAAGTAATTTAAAAGCAAATAGAAATATCCATATCAAGTTTGGTTAGTTTTTTGATGAATTTAAAATTTGGCCAAAAATGTGATGGTACCCCTAGAGCTCGAGGTCAAAACTAAAAAAATTATAATTTAGACATTAACAACATGTATTTTTAACATGAAACTTTTACAAATTAATTTAAAAGCAAATAGAAATATCCAAATAAAATTTGGAAAGTTTTTTGATGATTTTAAAATTTGACCAAAAAATGAGATAATACCCCTAGAGCTCGAAGCTAATACCAAAAAAATTATAATTTATGCATTACACACAAGTTTTTTTGATATGAAACTCTTACAAAGGATTATACATGAACATAGAAATATCGTTGTCAAATTGGGAAATTTTTTCATTAATTTATTATTTGGCCAAAAAATGTGATGGTACCCCGTAGAGCTTGGGGCCAAAAATAAAAAAATTATAATTTAGACATTACTGACAAGTCTTTTTAAATAAACTTTAAGAAAGCATTTTACATGCAAATATAAATATCCATGTTAAATTGGGAAATTTTTTGATGAATTTAAAATTTGGCGAAAAAGTGTGATGGTACCCCTAAAGCTCGAGGCCAAAACTATGAAATTTATAATTTAGACAATACTGACAAGTCTTTTTGATATGAAACTTTTAAAAAGCATTTTACATGCAAATATAAATATCCATGTCAAATTTGGCAAATTGTTTGATGAATTTAGAATTTGGCCAAAAAATGTGATGATATCCCTAGAGCTCGAGGTCAAAACTAAAAAAATTATAATTTAGACATTAAAAACATGTCTTTTTAACATGAAACTTTTACAAATGAATTTAAAAGCAAATAGAAAAATCCATATAAAATTTGGCAAGTTTTTTGATGATTTTAAAAGTTGACCAAAAAATGAGAGTTACTTTTAAAACTAAAAAAATTAAAAAAAATTTCCCATATTTGACATGGATATTTCTATTTACATTTAAAATCCTGTGTAAAAGTTTCTTGTCAAAAAGACTTCTCAGTAATGTCTAAAATGTGATGGTACCCCTAAAGCTCGAGGTCAAAACTAAAAAAATTATAATTTAGACATTAACAACATTTTTGGCCAAAAATGTGATGGTACCCCTAGAGCTCGAGGTCAAAACTAAAAAAATTATAATTTAGACATTAACAACATGTCTTTTTAACATGAAACTTTTACAAATTAATTTAAAAGCAAATAGAAATATCCAAATAAAATTTGGAAAGTTTTTTGATGATTTTAAAATTTGACCAAAAAATGAGATAATACCCCTAGAGCTCGAAGCTAATACCAAAAAAATTATAATTTATGCATTACACACAAGTTTTTTTGATATGAAACTCTTACAAAGGATTATACATGAAAATAGAAATATCCTTGTCAAATTGGGAAATTTTTTGATTAATTTATTATTTGGCCAAAAAATGTGATGGTACCCCGTAGAGCTTGGGGCCAAAATTAAAAAAATTATAATTTAGACATTACTGACAAGTCTTTTTTAAATGAAACTTTAAGAAAGCATTTTACATGCAAATATAAATATCCATGTCAAATTGGGAAATTTTTTGATGAATTTAAAATTTGGCGAAAAAGTGTGATGGTACCCCTAAAGCTCGAGGCCAAAACTATAAAATTTATAATTTAGACAATACTGACAAGTCTTTTTGATATGAAACTTTTAAAAAGCATTTTACATGCAAATATAAATATCCATGTCAAATTTGGAAAATTGTATGATGAATTTAGAATTTGGCCAAAAAATGTGATGGTACCCCTAGAGCTCGAGGCCAAAAGTAAAAAAATTATAATTTAGACAATACTGACAGATCTTTTTGATATGAAACTTTTAGAAAGGATTTTACATGTAAATATAAATATCCATGTCAAATTTGGCAAATTTTTTGATGAATTTAAAATTTGGCCAAAAAGTGTGATGGTACCCCTAGAGCTCGAGGTCAAAAACTATAAAAATTATAATTTAGACAATACTGACAAGTCCTTTTGATATGAAACTTTTAGAAAGCATTTTACATGCAAGTATAAATATCCATGTAGAATTTGGCAAATTGTTTGATGAATTTAGAATTTGGCCAAAAATGTGATGGTACCCCTAGAGCTCGAGGCCAAAACTAAAAAAATTATAATTTATACATTACTGACAAGTCTTTTTAACAAGAAACATTTACACAGGATTTTACATGCAAATAGAAATATCCATGTCAAATTTGGGAAATTTTTTGATTAATTTAAAATTTGGCCAAAAAATGTGATGGTACCCCTAGAGTTCGAGGCCAAACTAAAACATTTGCAATATAGACAATACTAACAAGTCTTTTTGATATGAAACTTTTAGAAAGAATTTTACATGCAAATATAAATATCCATGTCAAATTTGGCAAATTGTGTTATGAATTTAGAATTTGGCCAAAAAATGTGATGGTACCCTACAGCTCAAGTCCAAAACTAAAAAAATTATAATCTATATATATTACTAACAAGTCTTTTTAACAAGAAACATTTACACAGGATTTTACATGCAAATAGAAATATCCATGTCAAATTTGGGAAATTTTTTGATGAATTTAAAATTTGGCCAAAAAGTGTGATGGTACCCTAGAGCTCGAGGCCAAGACTATAAAAATTATAATTTAGACAATACTGACAAGTCTTTTTGTTATGAAACTTTTATAAAGCATTTTACATGCAAATATAAATTTCCATGTAAAATTTGGCAAATTGTTTGATGAATTTAGAATTTGGCCAAAAAATGTGATGGTACCCCTAGAGCTCGAGGCCAAAACTAAAAAAATTATAATTTATACATTACTGACAAGTCTTTTTAACAAGAAACATTTACACAGGATTTTACATGCAAATAGAAATATCCATGTCAAATTTGGCAAATTTTTTGATGAATTTAGAATTTGGCCAAAAAATGTGATGGTACCCCTAGAGCTCGAGACCAAAACTAAAAAAATTACAATTTATACATTACTGACAAATCTTTTTGACATGCAACTTTTACAAAAGATTTTACATTTAAATATAAATATCAATGTCAAATTTGGAAATCTTTTTTATGAATTTTAAAATTGGCCAAAATATGTGATAGTACCCCTAGAGAGCTTGAGGCCAAAACTAAAAAAATTATAATTTAGACATTAACGACAAGTCCTTTTGACATGCAACTTTTACAAAGGATTTTACATGTAAATATAAATATCCATGTCAAATTTGGAAATCGTTTTTATGAATTTTAAAATTAGCCAAAAAATGTGATGAGACCCCTTGAGAGCTCGAGGCCAACTATAAAAAAATATAATTGACCATCAATTTTCATATGATTTTACATGCAAATAGAAATATCCATTTTTAATTTTACAATTTTTTGACTTGATTAAATGTTACGTCAAAAAACGTGAGAATACCCTAGAATTCGAGGCAAAAACTAATAAAATTTAATTCATGCATTACTAACGAGCCTTTTAGGCATGAAACTTTTACAACTAATTTTACAAGAAAATATCTACATCAATGCTAAATTAGACTATTTTTGTTTGTATTAAATATTTTCAAAAAGCGCAATGATATCTTTAAGAGATCAATGCGAAAACTAAACAAATAATTATTTAGACATAAATAAATAAGTCTTTTTTACATGAAACTTTTGCAAATGATTTTACATGCAAATAGAAACATCAATGTCAAATTTTTTAATTTTTTAATTTATTTTAAATTTGGCTAAAAACTGTAATTGTACACCTAAGAATTTGAGGCTAAAACTAAAAAAAATTACTTGAGGGTCTTTTGAGGGTGAAATTTTTATATATGGGACGAAGTGACTATATAATAATAATAATAATAATGACTATTTCCATATAAGTTTAGACTCCTAGCTAGCATACATTCACAAGTCGCCAACTTAAGGGACATTTCTTCTGTCTTAATTTAGGTATTTTACTCTTAAAAATTTACGATAACAAGTACATAGTAATAGACAACTTATTTTGGGACAGAGAAAAAAGGCAAACAGGCAATTTAAAATGGGACAGAGGGAGTACTTCTTATTTTTTCTTATTAAAATCAATTTAGATCAAATCAGACCAGATCGGAAATATTTTAAATATAATTACATTCAGATAAGATTAGAGCAAATCAAAATTTATTCCAATTAGATCAAAACCACTCACCTCAGATGAAAAGAACATGGCCTTAGACAGTTAAGAGATTTCACAAAGTAAAAAACCCTCCCAACATTAGTTTTTTTACAGGCATTTACTTTAGCATGGACATTATGCTTGCACATTGGAGAAGAATAATACTTCCCTTGCTTGAAGAAGATGACTGGAACACAGAAGTCCCCAACCTGAACTACATACTTGCTCCCCACCTTGGCCCCCCAAAACATTCCTCACTAGGGAATTTAAGCACCAATTCCTCACACAGAAGTCCCCAACCTGAACTACACCCTAACCAGTTCAAGAGGCGCAGATAGGACATAATCAACAAACTCCATACACTTATAACAGTGACTCTTCCCTGTTAAGGGAATTTAAGCACCAATTTGTATTTGCACTCTCTGTATCAGCAGTAGATATCTGCAAGACTTTGTTATGGTGTTTGAAGAGGGTTCTACGATGGCCAATGCTTATATACGTCATACCTGCATCTTGGATTAGGCGGTACAGATGGTCCTGTAGTCACAAGAAACACTGGTTGAGTCCTCTTATCATCGACACTTGAATCCCAATTAACTGGACTCCATGTGAGGCATTTTAGTGTCAATATATTAAATTAACACAACCCCATGCAAAAAGCAAAGAGCCAAACTTGTACTTACATCATCAGAATGTACCATGAGCATGATCATCCAACATTTAAAAAGGTCCATTCTTTAAAAGCAAAATGAGCATTCTCAACAGCTAAATGAGAATTAATTACCAGAAAAATGAGAGCAACAACAACAAAGCATTATCCTACTAGGTGGGGTTGGCTACATGGATCAAAAAATGAAAGCAGAAAACATAAAAAATACGGAAATACTTGGGGATCCCCGGGTTTCCCTAGCACCCCCTAAGTAATAAGACTAAATGAAATGAACACTATTTAAAACCATAATGAACATGTCATCAAAACAACTTGGTGATGCCCTTCCTGGCACACAAGTTATCTCCATTTGCATGGAGTCATGGACAATATCATGAGGTGGTGATGAGCTAAGATAGTTGCCATAATCATGTTCCATCAAACCGTTGGCATTTTAAAGCAACCTACAAATTATGGATCAATAAACTAATTCCATTTTGTAAAGAAACTTATCAATTTGATTGAGAATGCTACCAACAAATTGGAAGGACCAAGAAACTCATCCACCCATTTCACGGCAAGAAATACATATTTGCGCACATAAGCTCATCATAATACTGCAAATTCAATTTCTTTCACACTATGGTGCAGTTTGGTAGAGGGCATTATTAGTGTACCTTATATTTCATTACATCTTACAAACTACACCTAAGATATTGTCCCTTCTACAGCTTCAGGAGATTGATAAATTTCCAATGAACTGAAGCACATGCACAATGGAGATTGAAGTAAGCTTAAACATATGTATCAACTATTGAGCATTCATTACCTCATTAGCCTCATCTAGAGCACTAGTAGACTCATCCAGCAGAACCAGGTAGGGCCTGGACAATAGTAGTCTGGCAAATGCAAGCCGCTGTTGCTCTCCAAGGGAAAGAACACTAGACCACTCGTGCATAGAATCTAAACTTTCAAGACGGGATAATAGATACTCAAGGCGGACATCCTTTAAAACTTGGATTAGATCATCGGTTGTGGGTTTTAGATGATCCACTTCAGCAAACTGTACTCTGGAATCACACCTAAAAAATGATGGGAAATCTACACAAAGCCAATTCAAAGAACCTCTGCATGAACACCAGCACGTAACAGAAAGATGGAATAAAGATAAAATGGAACTGTAAAAAAGAATCATATTGTTTTCAACGAGAAATGCTAATGCTCATTGAATTTAATGTAACTTTCCACAAATAAGGTGATCCAAACAATTCTGCTATGCGCCCATGCTAAACTTAGTTTATAATAATAATGATAATAACAACAATAATAATAATAATAATAATAATAATATAGTATCAGAACCGTTAATTCAAAATAGCTTTACACTTGTACCGTGCATTCCTTAATGAAACTTAAAAGGTTGCACCTTAATATGAAACAAGACTATTTCGGGGATGGGGGAGTATATATTTCAATATATAGATCAAAATAACAGTAAACACAAAATACTATTTTAAAATATCTAGTATATTAATAATTATAAATAACAAAAAAATTAATGTGACAAATTAATAGTATGCGATGAGGGTGAAAAGGGATCGAAGTAGCATATGGTACATAACAAAGGAGCGAAAAGTAACAATTTTGGCGTTTGATCTTGAGAAGTTTTATTGATTCATTTAGATGACCCAGATGAATTGGGATTAATTCTTGTTTTGTTGTTGAAATGTCATATATCGAGTTAAGCTCAGAGTATGTTTGTACATTCAATGCCACAAATATGTTGCAGATATGCAGTCATTAGATTTAACAGTGACATACCAGTTTGTTTAGAGAGATCTGCAGGAAAATCTGCATCTTCAGTCCAGGTTGGATATAATAATTGCTGACGAAGGGTTCCCAATACCATATATGGCCTTTGTGGAAGAAAAAATACCCCTCCAGTACGTCCTCTGTGCCCAATAGTGTCCTCATTTATCTCACAAGATGAAACTATATAACTAGAAACAATACCTGAAGTAGATAATTCTGTTTTATATTTGGCATAGAGTGTTATAATTCCCTTTCCGAAGTTCCAAAGACCGGCTATGGCTCTCAATAGTGATGTTTTTCCACTACCACTTGGCCCTGTAACCTGTTAAAAGAGCTATATAATAGAAATCGTTTCACTCAAAGTTTGAACTGCCAACCCTAATGCCACGTTAGAAACTCAAAATACAAATTAGAACTGACCAGCAAATTATCCTTTTCAAAAACCTCCAATGACAAGGCCTTTATAAGAGGTGATTTACTCATTGGTGTCTGTAGCGTCAAGTCCTCAATATGCAGTACCATCACATAATTTACAGATGAAACAGATTGATTTGAATGCAGCCCAGCTGAGCCGCTAACATGACAATACTTCAGTTGTATCTCTTCTGTAGAGTCGTGACTTTTTTGGATGCTACTATCTAAAACATCATCAAATTCACCTGCAAATAAAAGATCAAGTTTGTCATCTAAATACTATGGCATTAAAACCCAGATCTAGTTTGACAAGAGAACCCAAATAAATAGTATAATATTAATAATAAAATTGTATTGAAAAATTTAGACATCCAATTATGGTTTTGACATGTATTCCGTGGTTTAGATAACTTGCAGAGGTATAAGAATTAGACTCCTAAATGTCTGTAGCAGTGTCATCTTCACTGCTTCTACCAAATCATACCCTCTTAAAATGAACATACCAGAAATATATAACTTTTACCTATGAAAGAAAAATTTTAAATATTTCTCAATACACATTGAATTAGTAATTTTCTATATTTCTCCAAGGATCGATCAACATCTACAATCTGTACCAATATATCAAATTCAAGCTCACATTACACAACCAGGTTTATTTTAAATGTTATAGATATAAATCAAAATACTATTAGGGACTTCCTAAATCCACACTTTAAATGACTAAATGGATTCTCTACATTCAAATTTGCGAAATCCACTTTTCTTGCTTATTATTTTCTATGAAGTTTTGGGAAGTAAAAGCATCAAAGGTCTAACAAAAACAGACTCTCTATTCTCGAGGGGAGAGGTAAGGTTGCTTACTTCTTGACCCCCCCCCCCCAAAAAAAAGACCCGAGTGTAACTGAAATTACAGTATTACACTAGGTTTTTTGTTGTTATACTCCGTATGAGTGTGAGTGAGTTTAGCAGATTTGGTTGGGGTGTGGACTTAATCATTTAACGTGCGGGTAGTAGGGCAATCCAACAAGGCAAAGTACCTAGTCGGTCAATGACTGCTGAAAATGCACTTATTGCTTGAAATTGAAAGACAATCAAGGAGAAATCTCCAAGAATATGATTAAACGCAGACACAGACTGATTTATGACCCCAAATTCAATTTTTCCAGAGAAGAACATTGGTGCGACAACTGCAGCCGGAAGAATTTGAATGAGATAGCGGTAGCCATTTGTGAAGAACTCTAAGTTTCTTGATGATATCAATATTTTCTGTGAAGGCACAAGAGAAGGACGAGATAAGAAGATAATTTGAATTCTGTACACAATTTTAAACCAGGTAACAAAAAACATGATCACCATGCATACTATTATACATCAATACATATTACGATGATATGAGTACATCAAAAAGGGAAGTTTGGTTAAAGAAAATATAATTTGTTCTACTTTTCATTCTTTCAGGCGACGACTGTCAGTCTCCAGTGAAGTCTGCAATTCCACTCTGTTCAGCACGACATGTACACTTCATCAGCCTGAAACCAGGGTGACTCCTTTCTTAGCATAAAAAGGCTGAAATTCTCAGTTCCAGGGAAGCTGACCCTGATTTTAAAAATTGACTTGATTGTGGTGCACAAAAGGTAGATTCCGCTATTGGGTTGCACAAAATAAATGTGGCCATCCATTATCACGGGACGAAATGAGGATCTGTGTAGGAGAAGTAAGAGCACGAGTCTACTTATATTGCATTCTTGTTTTGTTAAGTTTCAATTTTCCAATCAAGTGTTTTTTACCTTCCTAATAGTTCTCCAAGCAAGTACTAGTTATTTTTCAATTAGTTAGGATGGCATATTCTTAGTATCTTATTAGACCTCCTATATTATAAGCCATCAGTTCTTATATATACATTTCCATAGCACAATACCATTTTCCATGTTTTCTCCTTTGCCACCCCCTGCCTCCCATCCTTGGACATCGTACCTTACTACCTTAGTGACGCTGTTAACAACTTGGTACCAAATACAGATCAATCCATGGCATCATCACATTCAGGCTATGTTTCTGCTCCGCTACAGAGAATTCAAGGCATCCACGGGCTAAATTGAACTCGATGGATGAAAATTTAACCATCTCATTTTCAACTTGTTATAATGCCCACTACTCCTAGCACTAAGCAGATAAGTGAAGCACATATATTCACATTTTTATTCAGATTGAAATCACACACACACAGTAGGGAATACGTTGCATACAGTGAGGTTTTCGTAAGCCCTTTTAAAACATTTTAGCAGTAGTTGCATCTCATTTCCCTCCCCACCATAAAATGCAATTGATTCAGCATTTTCCCTAACACGCATTAACCCATAGCGGAAATCTGCTTCTTTTTTCTCTTGCAGAAAGTTGAGGGTCACTAATCCCTGAATACACAAGACAGTATCCACCATTATTATTGAGAGAAGACAATGTCACAAAGATGTAGTGCAATAGAGGAATTCAACATGATGTGTCAATATCCAAAAATATCTAGCAATGATATAGTAGAATGCACTCAAAGATGAGAGAGCTACCCTTCCAATAAATATACTGATAGATGTTCCGCCAATAGAATATGCGAGAAGCACGAGGAAAAGTGGCGGATAGATGCCATACAAGATATTGCTAAATGATATTAAGTCTACTGCAGCGTTGAAAAGTGTCAAAGAAAATGAAAGAGATGTTCCTGTAAAAGAACTCAAATCATCAACAATTCGCTGGTCTGGATTGTCTATTGTCGACTGGGACTGTAGTTTGTAAAAAGTCTGATTCTTTAAATAGCGCTCCAGGAAATTGGTTGTCATCCAAGATCTCCATCTTAATGCTAATGTTTCACGTGCATAGTCTCTCAAGACAAAAATCTGCAACATGTTTGGATAAACTTGATTGAAGATCAAGGAACCAAGGAAAAAAAAATTAAAAACTGCCAGCGTTTTCCACAGCAAAAAACATGAAAGTAAACAGTTAATGGGAATAGAACAGACAAAACTACTCTGAATGGGAAATCCAGGGTTTATTTGGTTTGGTACAGACTAAACTAGTAAAGTGATTTATGAAGCAAAGCAATTTCTGAGTAGAAAAAGACACCAGTGGTAAAATGATGGCAGCCAAATCTAAGCAAGGAGGAGTTCTCACCGGAATACCACCAGCAAAGCTAGCAATGTAGTACAGTAATTGCTTGCTGAACTGTTCTTGATCTTTGTCTTACGCAAATTTGATTGAAGAAGATAAAAAGTTAGCGATGCAATATGGGGTAGAAAAAAGCTGGTGCGGAAAAGGAGTAGAAAAAAACTGGTGAGAAACCATACTGGCAAGTGCATTATAGAAATCACGTCCCAGGAAATTGAAACCCACACTGATTCCAGTTGTCCCTAAGGTGAGGGCAAAAACAGCAGCAAGCTGCAATCGCGCCTGGACTTTGTCTTCGGAGGACCAATAGGGAGCAGCAATTTTCCAGAACCTTCTGGCAAGTGTTTGAAGATCCCGACCTTTTGGTTCTGTGTCTTGATTCTGACATATAACACACACACACACATGCTATGTGAGTAAGTTATCTCTATTTGTTTCCGAGAATGAATGAACGCTACTAAGAAGAAGAAGGAGAAGAAGAAGAATATTAGACGTACGAGAGGTGGGGTTGGAGATGAAGTCCCGGGAGCAGTTTCCGATGAGGAGCGGGGGGAGTTGGACGCTCGCAGACGAATCGGATTGGGGAATCTGAAATAGGATTGAGAGGTAATTGTGGTGGGAATAAGAAGGACATTGCAAGTCGGCAGTCCAGAACAAGAAGAAAAGGGATCGGTTTTCGGACAGAAGAATTGCGCCCCCAAACCTATCGTCGCCATTTTCAACACTGTCCTAGCACCAGGTGGGGTTCTGATATGTATCTACTCCTTGAGTCTGACCTGTATATTTCGTACCTCCCCGGGCTCCCTCCCTCCATCCATGAGATCGAGTATTCCTTCACTCATTATATAGTCACTCTCTAGGTGTTAAAAATTTTAGCAAAATATTAAAAATATATCAAAGCAAAATTTATATTTTATTTTCAAAATTGAAATTAAAATATGTCCCAATTTAAATTGCCTATTTTGACTTTTGGGCATATTTAAGGAAAATAAAAAATAGAGTTGATTTTTCAAAATTAACATTACTTTCTAGAAGGGGTGATGATAAATGAGAAGATAAAGTGAAGAAGATTGACTTATTTTAGAGGTAGTTTAGGTATTTTATTTTTAAAAGTTTACGAAAACAACTAACAGGCAACTTATTTTTAGACGGAGAAAAAAGCAAATAGGCAATTTAAAATGGCACAAAGGGAGTATTTACATTATCAATCATGACTATGTACATTACCAAAAAGTATAATAAAATGTACAGGTACACTATCACATTACCACAGTGCGAATTACTATTTCGGGAATAAAAACATAAAACTTCTATTTTGGTACTTTTTTATATTTACTCCTATTTAGGATATTTTCTTCAAAATGTATAATGTTACTACTCCCTTCGTCCCACAATGTTTTACTATTTACTATTCAAAAATTATGAAAACTTTTATTTACTTGATGTTTGAATTGATTGTTTGATGTAATAAAATATTGTTATCACTTCTTATTTTTTATAACTTTTGATATTTTTTAACTATACAAGTTTTAGTATTCATTTTTATATCAATCTTTAAATAAAATGAATTGAAAAAAAACTTAAAATTTTATTTCGTTTTGCGTAAAGCCTAATATCTTATTTCGTCATTACTTTTTACTTTACTCATTACTTTGCGTAAAGCCTAATATCTTTACTCATTACTTTTTAACTATATTTTACTTAGTATATTGGATAAATTTGTACATTTTGTAAATATTTTATTTGTGACTCTAGCATTATTTTTAAAAAGATAGAGTCACAAATATAATAACCGCAAAGTTCATAAATGTATCATATCTGAATTTAAATTTCCATTATTTTAATTATTTGAAATCATTTAATTTTTTTAACTCGTTCACAAATAGTAAGTTTGTAAATTTTTTTGAGCATTTAGCATTTCACATTTTTAAATAGGACTGCGCACAAATTTTGCAAATCAAACGAATCAAATCGAAACCAATACTTTGATACATACATGTATTGAAACTGAACTAAAATAATTGCTTCCTATTCGTTTTTTAATACTCCGTATAAATTTTGGTTTCAATACAATTTCAAACAGTTATTGTTAACCAAATTGTATAACTCTACGAAAATAATGTTAAAAAAAATTCGTAAAACCTTCTACGAAACCTTTTTTATTTTTACCAAATCAAGGTTAGAATTAAGCATTCCATACAAAAAAAAAAGTTTACCCAATTTTCGGTTTAGTTTGGTCCGGTTTATGGTTGTGAAACACTTGATATTAAACTTTTGCATCAAAGTTAATTTTTTTAGTAGTTATTTAAAATTTATAACTTCAAAGAAATAAACGAGATACACACTTTTCATATTTTTTCTTTTTGTGAAAGCAAAAGAGAATTGAACCTCTTTTGATTTCTTCCAACACTAATTTAAAATAATTTTGTAATAATTAGGAAAAAATTATACAATACAGTGAATACACTGAACCATAAAATTTTCCTTATTAAAAATTTCTTAAATAAGACAATTAAAATTTCTGCATGTTTGCATTTCATAGTGCCACATGTCAGTTTCTCAAAGTTCGTGGTCTACTTTTCATATATAAAAGATAAAAGATTTTATTTAATTCAAATTAGAATTAAGATTTATTAAAAATTATATATTTCATAGTGTTATATTACTTCTTTCCACTAAGGGCCTTGAGACGAAGTCATTGCTTTACATGGACTCCAAGCCATTGTTGCTGAAAAAAGATTAATTATAAAACAATGGGTTCAAAAACTGCTAGAAAGGGAAATAATGAGTTCATAAAAATCAATATTTTTTTCCAAACTCCGTCGCCACTGTTGTCTTCAGAAGTTGCTGCCATGCTGGTTTATCATCACCGTATAGAGCCGCAGAAGTTTGCTACGGGACATCGGAGTCTCATCGGGGTTGTTGCTGTTGCTGAAGCATGGCCACTGGATCCCCGTCATTGGATTGGATCATCCACTTCGTATCTATGTTCAAGGACTACACCGGATTGAAATCCGATTGTTATTTCGGATTGCACAAGCTTGGGGTGAAAGTGTGGGTACTCCGAGGCTATCGAAGAAACCGTGATCAGTGAAGCATTGAATGTGTTAATAAGGGCAATAGGCAGCAGAGGCACGCACTTAAATGAAGTGATGAATTCATACATTACTAATAACAATGATGCACAAGACATGGTTTTGAAACAACCATTCTAATGACACATCAAGCGCATGTTGATGAAGATGATACACATACATATCACTTGTTGTTCACAGGGAAACTTAGAGATCATCGCCTCACAAATTCATAATAGATGAAGAAGACACCAGACAAAACACTACCATCCATTCATAAAGCTTTAGCTTGCTCCTCCCATTCCCCAATATCTTACGCCTTGCTTTTGTGTGCCTTGCTTTTGGCACCCTTTCTTTTGCGCCCCTTGCTTCTATGCTTCTTGCAGGGCTGTGTATGACAAATACAGCACACCGCACAGTTAATCCATCAAAACACACTACAAAAAACACGGATATTTGGAGAAGCCTCCGACGCACACGCACGAGTGTTATCAATTTATGCTTCGCATCTTCAAGACTTCTTACTTTCTCACAAGAAATAAATTAATATCAAAGTCGTCGTACTAGAACTGATATCACCCTCCATCTTAAAATGAAGTTTACGTGTTGGCATGAAATGGTCTTTAAAACATTTTTTAAAAAATACTGTAAAAAGTTGTTTGGATGAGATTAGTTCCCAAAAAAAAGGCAAATGTTGTAACTAGTGAGTCACATATTTTCTTCTTTCATTGGAAAGTAATGAACTGTACGTAGTACGTACTATTTGAAAGCTTTGTCTTTTAAATTGCAAAAAGTCAGCATTTGTACTTTTGTACAATACAGCACCTCAAATGTAAAGGATGGAATGACAAGTATTATTTTTTAAATAGAAGTAAAATAAAATAAATAAACAGAAATATTGTAGCATACCGTGGACGGCCCAGCCAGTGTGCCCTCTCTTCCTCTGAGTTGTGGCATCGTCTCCCTGCGAATTAAACTGGTGCAAAACGAATCTGTCAAACCATCAAAATACTAAAGACCACATGAGGAATGCTATCTGCACTCCTAAACTGAGAGCACAAATTGCACCTTCAATATTATTCTGCCACACATGTAGGGTGAATCACATAATCGAATCAATTCCACACACGAGGCAAATAACAATCCCTTGCAGTGTGCAACATTGGGATGTGCAATTTGCATTCTCACATAATCCACTCAGCTCCTACTGCACTTAAAAGAAAAGTTTTAGTTCCCAACATATGTTGGCTTATGATCCCGACCTACAAAGTTTCATCCCAAGATTCTCAACCCAACTCCACCAAAAAACATCAGGGACTTCCAAATTTCATGGGAATAGTTTGTTTCTCCTCTCAGTCATATATCATTTGAGAGATAAACTCATCAAGAACCTTGATAAAGTGAGCAATAAACAGAGTAACACACGTACAGAAAACAAAACAAAACAAAACAAAAAGCTTACACGGCATTTATCCCAATAAAGTGTGGACCCCTGACATTGTACAACTGGGTGGAAACATTGACAGCACATGGTTGCTCATCAATCACTTGAACATCAAATTTGGTACAGTAAATTTGAGTGACAGCGTTGTGAATGTCAATCTTGTCAGCCCAAAGGATGCAGAGACGTCCTTCGCCTATGAGCAACAATTGTGCACGTGGGAGTTCCGGTTTAGAAAATAGTTCATAGCTCACTGGCAAAGCATGAGGAAAGTTCTCGAAACCAACAACTGGAGTTGGGTACCATTTGTGGACGCTGTCATTGTAGACCATAAGAACGGCGTATGGCTTTTCATATGTGTTTTTCTGGCACAAAATGTAAAACAAATCCCCATGACCAACACCTGTGCAGCAATTCCAGGAACATTCTTGCGGCACGTGGTCATCATACACCTTAAATGCATTTTGGTCAAAATCATAAGAAACAAGACAGCTTGATAAAAGAATGATGGCATGCGTAGCACGGCGCTTGATTTTACAAGTTGCAGGATCAACGGGGGTTTCATATTGGAGTTTGAATGCATAAAAGATATCATGAAGATACTGTTTTGATAGTTCATTACTAATGGGATGTATGGACTGCCAGCCTTTAGACAAATCGTGGCAATCAAGAAACAATAAATCAAACAAGAGACCCTTAAAGATCCCCAATCCGTAAATCTTGTCATTGGCCTCAAAGAAGTAATAATTGAAGGTTCCTGGAGGCAGGGGAGGAGCTTCCTTCCATCCTCCCTTGACATTTTGTGTATCCAAATAGAACACATACGCTGAGTGTGGAGAATGATCATCGGCATCACAGAAGGTGAAGATATGAGACCCTATGGAAAGTGGAGGACAAAAAAGATAATAAACATTGGCATCGCCTGGATCCAAAAAGGCCGGGCAGAGGGGACTGCCTTTACTGGACAACAAATGCCGTGTTGAAATAGAAAACCACTCGTCTCTATAGGATTCCTCATCTAGCCTTCTGGCAGGCAAACGGATATAGATTATGACATGTTCATCCTCAAAATCTGCCCCATTGTTGAATCCACAATTGGATGCAGTCATTGTTCCCCTGGGATTTCCTACAGTTGAGAAGTGCACTATTCAAGTAAGGACATGATTAATTGTGGGATAGTTGTAGTACACATTTCATATAATGTGTGTAGAAGGGTAGACAAGGATACATACCTGTGTTCAGGGCCATCCATGATAAAAATTGGCTCATGACGTCTTCCACATTAACTACTGTGTCTTCCAACGGATTATGGTTTTTCTGGAGATGCATAGTGCGGCCGTCGCATGGAGAGGAATATGTATTCTCCATTCCTAAGTGTTAGACACAAACAAACATAAACACACGAAAAGCACATATGTGTGCGTGTAGCAGCCTGCAGGATGGTGTGTGTGGACAAGGAAAGAACCATACCTGATGTCGCCCTCGTCCGCGGAGCTGGTTCATGATTTAACGATAATAGAAATCGGTCGAAGAGTTCTCTGACATGAGCTGTGTTTTCTTTCAACAGAGCACGATGATTTTCATGGAGATGCATCGTATTGATGGAATCTGTAATTTCCTTTCCCGTCGACGGGCAGAAGGAATCCGGAGAGAAATCGACAATAACAGATAACTCCTGCGCTAGGGCTGTTGGGTTTCGATGATGGAAAGAATGAATGAATGATGCCCTCTCGGTTTAAATTGGTTCCCTGCACTTATATTTTACTCCCCTCTTGTTGAAGTAGTTTTTGAATATGTAATTTTTATATCTTATTCATATACCAATTTGTAAATAAAATAATTTCAAAAAGTAAGAAATTTTTCTTCGTAACCTATATTTTGTAATTTATTTAGGGACGGGGAAAGTATGTCATAAGAAATTGATGGCTTACACTCACATAAAAGTGTAAGTGATTCTTCACTAAATAGGACTAAAACTTAAGTCATTTCTCTAAATAGCACTTAAATTGTTTTATTCCGTAAATAACATTTAATAATGTCCATAATGACCAATGATGGCGAACATTTACTTGAAATAATGACTAATGGATAATGACTAAAAGTGCTACATTAGAAAAAAAATACATGTAGTGTTATTTAGGGAAAGTCATTATGTTTTCATGTTATTTATGTAAATTCCTCTATGTTTTTATATGCAAATTCAAAGTGTTTTCCGATTATTGAATTTGGCAAAGAATTTCTCTTAACAACTATTATAAATGTTCATCAAAATAGTTAATTCAATCTCTCATTCAATTAATTCAATACAAACAACAAACGTTAAAACATAAACTTAAAAGTATTCAAAATCAATATATGAAGATGAGGAGGGGTTGTTATCTACAACAGCAGAACCAGCATCATCTAACATTCCAATTTCACCCACTTTTTTGTTGTTGTTTGTAGCAAATTGAGAAAAGTCAACGGGTTCTGGTACGTAGGGAGGTAAGGCACTCCTCACTAGTGCCCAATTCACCCCTTCAAAGAAGGGATGTTGTTTGATCTCTGTGGCACCTCGCTTGTACGCAATTCGCTTTTGTGGTTCCTTCACGAGCAAGCCCCTAATAAGATCCCTCGCCACGGTGCTAACCTGTGGACTTTCAGGGAATCTTAAGGGCTGCCCCACCACATTGAAGAGGGTGGCCCGGTTTCCCGCCCCCTTGAAAGGTGTTGTCCCGTGTAGAAGCTCGTAGAGGAATATTCCGAACGTCCACCAGTCCACGGCGCTTCCGTGTCCCTCTCCCCGAATGATCTCTGGGGCTAAGTACTCGTGGGTGCCGACGAACGACATTGACCTTACGTTTGTCGGCTCTGCCATCAGCTCTGGTAGGGCCCCACCAACAAGGAGCCCGAAGTCCGACTTGGACTTGCGGCTCTTCTTGCTCGTGGGGAGGATGTTGCGGGGGAAGAATGTGGACGGCTGGGTGCACCCTTGCATCTCGTCGTCCAGGATCCCGCCACCGCCCTGGGGCGGTGCATTGCCCACAGCACCGTGCACAGACGAGGACTTGACGAGCGTGGGGTTGACCGAGCACCGCAGGGAGAGGTCAAAGTCAGAGAGCATGATGTGGCCCTCGTCTCTCACGAGCACATTCTCCGGCTTGAGGTCCCGGTACACAATTCCAAGCATGTGGAGGTACTCGAGGGCGAGAAGCACCTCGGAGGCGTAGAACCGGGAAGCCTCCTCGGAGAAGTGCTTGTTGGGCTGCTTCTGCCGGAGGGTGTGGAGGTTGCCGCCGCTGCAGAACTCCATGACAAGGCAGTAAAATTTCTCGGTCTCAAAGTAGGAATATAAAGTGGGCAGAAAAGGGTGGTCAAGGAGGCCCAGAATCTCCCTCTCGGTTTGGGCCCGGATCAATTTGTTCCGGCTGGCCAGGGACCCTTTGTCCATGACTTTCATGGCGAAGAAGGTGTTGGTCCGCCGGAGCTCCACGAGGTAGACACTTCCGATGTCGCCGTAGCCGAGCCTCTTCAGCAGCCGGAAGTTGTTGAGCCCCAGGCCGCCTGTTGCGGTGGCTTTCGAAGACGCCAAGTTGATGGCGTCCCATCGACCGTCTCCGCCCGTGTGGGGCTTCAAAGCCGCCGCCGCCGCACTTGAGCTCTCCATGCTATCACTCCGCGGATTGTTACTATTATTGCCACCTTTCATCGTTGAGGAGGATTGAGCGACGGCGGCGCCACCTTTGACATTGCCGGTTCCACCGGTGCTGCTTGTCGTCATCGTCAGCTATCTTCCCCTGTCATCTACTCTATCCATCTGCATGTATATCCAATTTGCACAAATTAAAGATGTTAAAATATAACAACAACCATAACCTTTTGGTTGATTTGAATCTTTGACAAAAGATATTTGAAAATAAAACTTTTAGTAGAATTTTGTTTAATTACATTTTTTTAACATAAATACGGAGTATATACATTTGTTTCAACATCAATACAATTTTCAAATAAAATTAGAACTAATTTACTTTTTTATATGGAGAATTTATTTTGAGATGAATTATTGATTACTATACATCTCTTCCAACCCATTCAGTCTAGTTTGAATTTTTAGTTAAACTAAACAAATTTTGAATCTCAAATGAGTAAAAGTTGTAATGTTGTATGTATACCAATTGATATAAGAATGAATTCATTAAATTTTTAGTTTCCAAAAACTTTTTCTCTTTCATTTTTTTATTTCACCAAAATACTTTCAACTACTTTTAAAAGGTCACTTCACCCAAATTTTTTATACTTTATTTATAATATCATACTTTTTCTCTAATAATCCATCCATAGTATCTAATATTTACCTATACATCAAACACAAAATGGAAAGACAACTAGAATTTAACAATTCCTTAATTTTGACTTTGATCAATTTGGGATGGTTATCACAAACGGAGAGAATATAAAGTACTGAGTATAAATCAAATATTGGTATATATATTTTGACAATGGCCTTGTTTGGATACTAGCAGTTGGCAGTTGGGTGTTGGCTGTTTATGTTAGCTGATTTGAATGGCTGATTGAGTTAGCTGTTTTGACCGGCTGTTTCTGTTAGCAGTTAAATTTTAAGTGTTTGACAACTTTAGCTGTTTATAGTTAGCTGTTTGTAAATAAAATTACATAAAATGACATCCCTCCATTTATGATATATTTTATTTTACAATTTTTTTAAATATCATATCATAAATATATTTTTTTTAAATTAAAAAAATTAAATAAAAAATTATATATATGTGTGTGTGTGTGTGTGTTTGTAGACATGATATTTATTTTTCATTTTTTAAATGTAAAAATTAAATCTTTAATATATGGAATATTAAATTTTAATTTCATTTAATTCATAATAAATTATAAATATAAATTTTTTAATGAATTATAAATATAAATTTTTTTAATTTCATTTTATTTTTTCGTATTTAATTTTTTTAACTTTTATTTTTATTTTTTACATATATTATAAAATATCTTTCAACAAAAATGATTTTAAAAAAAAATATTTTTCCTAACCGCCAAGTCCAAATGCTACTCACCTTGGCATTTCAGATTTTGGCTTTTCGGATCAAAATGCCAAGTGAAAAAGCCATTAGCCAAACAATCGTTTTGGCGGTTCATTCGGTCAAAAAAGCCGAAGTCAGTCAAAGATGCCAAAAGCTATCCCAAATGCTGTTTTCCATGGCCAATAGCACATTTGAAAGAAAAAAAAATTGAATGTCATGCATCCATCAAATTTAATGATGAAATACGGCTGGTGATTATGGCCTATGATGATAGGATCCATATAATACTACGGGAGATGCACTTAATTATTAACACCTACATGGATTTGATTGAAACATAAATCAATATAAATGGGTGTGGAATTAATTAATATAACTTGGTAATAATCCGTCACAATACAGAAAACCTGTTATTGATATGCATATATATCAAATGTATCAAAGAACGTATGTTACATAGACTCACATGGAAGTTTGCTAAGACTTATGTATATTCTTGAATTTTGGCCAAACAATCAATCATGGACCGGCAACCATAATGAAAGGGGATAGATGAAATGATTTTGAGCTGGAGATGGAGGAGACAAAAAGTTACATGTAAACGAAATTATTCAACTTTTATTTATTAAACTTTTATTTTTATTTGTTTTTGTTTTTTTACATTTGAGTGGCGAGAGAAATGGAGAATATGCATGCAATTCATTGCTCAACCACAATTTTGCAGGAAAAGAAGGCCCGCCTTTCAAAATTTCACCTTTCCAATCCGTCACAATTAATTCAAAAATATTAATTTTTATATTTTTTTTATGTTTTTTGTTCCCCTTGTCTCGAGATAACTCACATTAAAATACAATTACAAAATGTTTCATAGATCAATTGAACCCTACCCTCTATGAGCTGGAAATATTTTTATATAGACTTGGACATCATTCTGTTCAACTTATTTTTTCTTCTTATTACTTATTCTTATTATAATCAAATCAGACCAGAAACATTTTTAATTATAATTGCAATCATATCATCAAATCAGACCAGATCAAATCTTCAAAAAATCAATTCAGATCAGGCGAACGAAACGCAGCCTTAGGAGTTAGGACTGTTTGCGGTAACCGGTAAATAATATTAAAGAAGAAACAATGAACAAATACAACGGGCATACCCGTGAGCAAGGGAAGGCCGTAGCCACCCTAAAGTCAAACAGATAAAACAAGATCACAGGGCACGCATGCCAAACCAACCAAGGAGTACACAGGCACGCAGGCCAAGCTAAAAATCAATACATGCATAGGGCCAAAGGCGCCCAAGGATAGTGTAAACCATAACTTTGATTTTACATACAATGGACATAATATCAAATGACTTATGATCAAAGGAAACCTCATTCCGAACTTTCCAAACCATGAAAGTGGTGCAGGCAAAGGCAAGCTTCCGCATCTTCTTCTTTGCAGCGTCTCCCTTCCTGTATGTGCGTAAGCAGCGGAGGGCTCTGTCCAAAGCGGTCAGTTGAGCTTCAACACCCATCCAAGCACAAAGATATCTCCAAATCTGTCCAGTGACAGTGCACTCAAAGTACAGATGGCTTGTGGTTTCCAAGCCGACACCACAAAGGGAACATACTCTTGAAATGCTCTCATCAAGGAATTCAAGAGTAACCTTTGTAGGGAGTCGTCTACGGAAAGCAAGCCATAGAGTGAATGAACATTTTGGTGAAATGTAGGGCTGCCATATGAATCCCATCCACGGCTTCGGGTTGGCATGAATCCTAAACAAATCATAAATTTTCCCCGATAGAAGCTTACCGTTCACACAGAAGGGTTGAAGGGCAGTTTCTGGAGCCGGGGGTTCACCAAGCTTCGTGAGAAGCAAACTTCTAATCTCTGCCAGTTTTTTGGAAAGGCAAGAGTCCCTTTTCTTAGGACTCCAGGTCCACAAGCACCTGCCATTAAGATATACTGAATTGACCCAACGCACCCACAAAGAGTCCTTTTTTGCCGCAATGTTCCACAGGACTTTACACAACAAAGCATTATTCCACATGACGGGTTCTTTTAAGCCCAGTCCCCCCTCATTTTTTGGCTTGCAAATATCAGCCCAAGCAACTTTGGCGAACTTACTCCCCCAAAGAAAGTTACGGCAGAAGCCAATAATCCTGTTAAGTACTGATTTTTGGGTGGGGAAGGCTTGGAGCCAAAATGACTCCACACCTTGTGTGACTGCCCTAATCAGCTCAATTCTCCCAGCGTAAGACAATTTATTCGTAGCCCAATTGCGTAGGAATCTATCAATTTTTTTAATGAGGGGCGAAATCAGTTTCCTTAAGCCTTTGAGAGGCCAAAGGCAACCCAAGATACCTGACTGGCAGCTGCCCCACTGCGAAATCAGTTTCCTGGCTACAATCTCTATACTTCCCAGCCACAAAAATATTGGATTTTGTGGGATTAAGATAAAGACCCGAGACACTTGAGAAGTGTTTAAGAGCCTCCATCAGAGTGTGGACAGAAGTGAAATCACCTTTCGAGAAAAGCATAATGTCATCCGCAAAAGCAAGGTGAGATATACCGAGCTTGGCACAATCAGGATGGAAATGAAAAGGAGCAGTCTTCACCTTCATATTCAAGAGCCTTGAAAAGTATTCGATGCATAAGATAAACAAGGTGGGGGCCATTGGGTCGCCTTGTCTCAGCCCTCTCTTGCCTTTGAAAAACCCATGAAGTTCCCCATTAATAGAGATTGAGAAGGAGGCTGTTGAGACACATTCCATCACCAGTTGAACGAATCTTTGGGGAAAACCAAGGCCTGTCATAACATTCTGCAAGAACTCCCAAGACACGGTGTCATAAGCCTTCGAGATGTCAAGCTTGATCATACATTTAGGAGTAGCCCTTTTGACCGCATAACCTCTAATCAAATGTTGAGCCAAAAGAACATTGTCAATTAAGGATCTGCCCTTCACAAATGCCCCTTGCGCAAGGTCAATGATGTTAGGTAAGAGAGGGGCCATTCTCTTAGCCATTATTTTTGTGATAACTTTGTAGATCACATTCAAACAAGCAATAGGCCTGAAATCCTTCACAGATGGGTTATGGGTGGTTTTAGGGATAAGGGCAACAACAGAATGATTGATTTGCTTAAGTAGCTTGCCATTTTGGAAAAATTCAGAGACAGCATCAAAAACATCCGAGCCAACATGCTGCCACTGTGCTTTGAAGAATGCAGCTGTATACCCGTCAGGACCAGGGGCCTTATCATCTCCAATGTTAAACAAGGTCTCCTTGACCTCGGCTGGGGTGACAGGTGCCAAAAGATTGTCCCAGGAACTGGCCGGAACCAAGGGACCAGAGGCCAAGATGTCAGGGAGAATGGGTTCAACCTCACTGTCCGTGCCAAACAGCCCAATGAAAAACTCAACAAAGGAATCAGCAACCTCGGTTTGAGAGGTGGTTTTAGAACCATCAGCACGTACCAGGTAAGGAATGGCGTTGGCACCCCTCTTCTTCTTCACCACTGAGTAAAAATACTTCGTGCATCTATCCCCTTTAGTGAGGAAATCACATTTAGCCTTCTGCTTATAGAAGTCCATCTCTGCCTCCAAAAGGAAATTGGTCTGCCTTCTTCATTCATTAACCAAACGAACCAAATCCTGGTTATTTGGGTCATCCATAAGCCTTTTTACTAAAGCTTTGTACTCCTCCTTGGCCAAGGAAACCCTATTGGAGATATGCCCAAACTCAGCCCTATTGAGTTCTTTGAGAGGGTGTTTGAGATAGAGAAGCTTGGAAGTGAGAACAAACTGTTTAGTACCAGAAACTCTTTGATTCCAAACTCGAGAAACAATCTGTTGGAACCTTTCATGCTTCGTCCACATATTAAAGAATTTAAATGGCTTAGATTTGCAGGTACGTGTGGTACAAGGAGCAAGCAGTACTGGGCAGTGGTCGGATTGAGGCTGCATATCCAGAAAATTGGCTTTACAATCAAGGCCAATATCTCCCCAAGAATGGTTCAATAAGACCCGATCAAGCCTGGCCAGTTTATTGCCTTTGTGCCAAGTAAAGAACAACCCATCAGAAGGTGCATCCATAAGTCCATTAGTAGCTCTAAACTGAAGCAGATCATTAAAGTAATAGGCCCCCTGACTGAAGCAGTTGACCCTTTCGTTAGAAGCCAGGACAGAATTGAAGTCACCCAAAATAGCCCACGGTTTACATACAGAAAGAGAGGAAAGCTTGTCCCATAAATCTCTTCTCACCTGTACTGTGTATAGGGCATAAACAAAAGTAATAGAAAAAGCTTTTTGGGAAGTCAAACAAACTGCATCAGAGTGAATAAACTGGGCACCAACTTCAACAACAGTTACGGCAAAAAAGGTTGGGTCCCAAAGAAGAGCCATACGTCCCCCCCCCCTAATAGCATCAAAATTACTGGTGTAACACCAGTTAGGTAAGTACTCTAATTTTTAGCAAAAAACTCCAACTTGGCCCCTGAGAGCTTTGTCTCCAAAACACAGGCAAAATGGGCACCAAGTGAACGCAAATATTTACACAAAAAAGATTGTTTAGAGGTCCGGCTGAGACCTCTAATATTCCAACAGAGAATCTTCACTTTGGAGGGGGGCCTGAGCCCTTGCCACCTTTCTTGGTTTTTTTAGTACCTTCCACGTTGGGGTTCCCAGTAGAGTTAGGACTGTTTGCTTGAGGGAGGGGAGGGAATGGAAAGGAATGGGAAGTGGATGTGGAGGCTTCCCTTCACCTTGTGTGGTCGGGGGAGGGGATGTGGTGAAAGCTCTTCATCCTCGATTTCCGGGCAACATAGTCCTTCGACTTCCCTCAAACCAAATATATACTCCGATCCGTAGCTCTGGAGATTGTGAAGCCTTTTGCTCATTGGTTTATACCTCTGTTTGAAATCGACTGTGGATGTGAATTTATGTTTGAAACTGATTTTTTAACACTTTAATTGATTCAAGACTCATTTGATAAATGGTTGTGAAATTGATTTGTTTGAAACTGTTCGAAACAAGTTTGTTTGGAGTTGATTTCAAAACTGATTAGAATACAGGTCTTTATTTTTTTTTTTTGTTTGAAAGTGACTGCATGTGGTTTTATATTTGACAGGGAAGCTCTTCAAAAATTCCTAACGAAGGGAAAACAAAGAACAAGAAGAAAGAGAAGTGGAAGAAGAAGAAGAATAGAAGAGGATAAGAAGAAATGATAGAGGAGGCCGGACTGAGGCTCAGTTACGAAGAGAGGAGAAGGAATCTAAAATTGCTGGGGATCTTACTCTTTGGAAGTCATTCTCAAGTTCGTAATAGCAAAACCAAGATGAAAGCGTGGAAAAGCATCGAAATAAATAGATTTCCACAGGTTGAAAAGTCTAGATGTTTCAGTTTTTTTTTTTGCATTTCCTTTTTTATTCGTTACTCCGTAGTTTTTTTGTTTCTAGTTTTATTTTTAAATTGGCAGCCCCACCAAAGGATAGAACTCTGACACTAGCTCCGGCTATCCTAAAGAAAAAAATTTCAGAGAAAATCAGCTACTAGAAGTTTGACTAGTATTTCGTCCCTATACCAAAGTGAGACGAATGATTTGCAGGTCCCTGTGGGCTTCACCATCTTTCATAGAGGTGGCAAAAAAAGAACTGGTACCATACCAGACCGTAATGACAACAAACTATTTATAGTATTTTCAAACGGGATCGATTTTTTCATCACGAAGCGAAACCGAACCAATACCAAATGGAACGGGACCGTGATACATATATTTAGAATCGATTATCACGGACCGTACCGTCCAACGCTATATACGGAGCATGTATCTCAAATAATTATGGAGTATTTATCTACTTCATCTTACCTTATATAGAATACTTCGAATTATTTTATATTTATCATTACAATTACCATTATTTTTTTTAAAGTCATTAGTATTCCGATATTATATGAATTGGGAAAAAATTATTTTTTAACTTTGGACTCGTTATCTTTTATTCTTTATGTTTATGATCCATTTAGATTTGAAATCAATATTTTTATTTAACAAACTTGTTATTTTTTATACAAATTTATACATTAAATTCAATATTCTTTGAGTAATGTACATTCCTTTTTTGACACGGTTTGAGCATGAGTATGATATTGTACTGTTCCGTTTCAAAACAGAATGGTACCGAATGGTTTTAGAATTCATCTTATCGAACCGTGTAAATAAAAGCACTCTGTGATAGGTTCTGGTAGTATCACGGACCATTACGGACTGCGCTTTCGGGTCCGAACAGGGATGCTCCAAGGCCGGCCCAGAAAAGTAAACTTGGCCCGGTACAAAATTCAAGTAAACGGAATACCTTCACCACCATCATCATACTTATATCATACTTATATATGCATGCCTTTGCCTATGTCTATGCCTATGCCTGCGTTCATTCTTCCCGGTGGTCAGTGGCGGATCCAGGAAATGTTTTCACGGGGGGCATTAGGTAAATTAAAGTGACAAAAATAAGGTTAAAAAAAAGGGACAATTAAATTGATAGAACATGCCTCTTACAAATTTTCTCTCTGAGTTTTCATCTTTTGAAGGCGATCAATTACATATTCGTTTGTAGTATTAAAAAATGTTTCCTCTTCAACAACACAAATCACATAAGCATCCAGAAACTCATCTCACATTCGATTCCGCAAATTTGACTTCGCATGTTTCATTGTAGAAAAAAAATTTCTCTAAAATCTTTTTTCTTTCTGAAGGATCCCATGGAAGATCACTTAAATATATTTCTTTAGCTAGTGAAGATACCTTATCTAAATGAATCCAGAATCAGGTGTTGAGGGGGCTTCTGTTTAAAAAACTTTTCCATTATCTAAAAAATAAAATGAAATAATTTTTTTATACAAAATCTATGACCAAAAACTAGAACAAATTATTCATATGTTATAAGATAATTATAATTAATACTCCCTTCTTCCCAAAATATAAGCAATAGTTACTATTTTGGCCTCTCAATAACTTTTGTTTGTTTACTCGTTTTGATTGATCATTTGATAAACTAACATACTCTTGTTGCATCTTATTTTGTAGAATTTTTTATCTATTTTTTAACGATGTAATTTTAAAAAAAGATGATATTCTACATGTTATTCATAATGTGGGTTACAATTTGGGATGGAGGGAGTAATAATCAACATAATAAACAAGACAATAGCAGCCTTCGAAACCAAGATAGCAATTCTCGTTTCTCAATTTCTCCTAAAATACCAGATGACAATTAGGTCTATGTTTCCTACTTTCCTACCCCGTCAAGCATAACCTAAAGGTATTTGAGCATATAATTTGAGCACCTGAGAGCTAGGGAGTAAAACCTGATTGGAGCGCCGAGAGCAGTAAAGCACGACTTCACGAGCTTCGAAACGCTTGGAGACAGTGGCGGCGGAAACTGGGGCGGCTGTGCTCCTGTGTATTTGTGCGATTATTGTCCGATAATCATATTGTGCAATCACCGATCGGCCTGCTCAAGCCTCAGCTCCAAGGAGTTTGTGCGAAGGGGAAGGGTCACTTTTGGGATTGGGAGTGAATTTTTTACTTTTGAGAATTTGGGCCACTTTTGGGATAGGATCTTTATGCAATTTTTACTTTTGAGAATTTGAGGCGTTGGGCTAGAATTTATTTGGTTTGGCTAATTTGTTTAATGGACTGGGGGCAGATTATATTTTTTATGGGGGGCAATTATATACAAAATCTTAAAAAATATTATATATACATATAGATAAATTTTTTCACTGGTTACATAGAGTAGATCCGCCCCTGCCGGTGGTGCTTCCCATTCACGGAATCAACCCAAAACCCTACCTTAGCTTAGCTTAGCTTAGCTTGCGTCAAAACCAGAGAGAGAGAGAGAGATTGAAGAGAGAGAGTTCAGTTCATTCATTGATTGGATTGGGTTCAATTCACTCAATTCCTCTTTGGCAGTGTGTGTGTGTGTATGTATATATATATATTTATAATAATTAGGAATAGAAAATATGAATGAAAATCATACTGCTACTACTCAGTTATTAGAAGAAGTTGTAGCCCACGGCAAACAACTCTTACACAAACTCCTCTCATCTCTAACCTTGACTCGCCCCCCTAACCCTCAACTCCCCCTCCTCCTCCACAGGAAGGCCACATCAGGTAAGCTCTTATATATTCTCTTTGCTTAATTTCGTTACTTAATAATCATCTATCTGTAAGAGCTATATATATTATATATGTATAAAATGGTGTCACATTATTAATTAATTTCTCTTGGTTCTTGTCATGCTACGTCTGATGTTGTATATATTTAGGAATGGATGATGATATAGAAGATTCCTCGGCCCAAGACGGGACTATTATGAGTCTACATGGAAAGGGAATTCAGTTGGTAGGAGAAGTAGCCTACATTAATGATGGCTTAAGGCAAGTGCTATCATCTTTAACTTCCTCCAGTCAGCCACGACCCATCATACGTACCAGGGGAACATCATCATCATCATCAGGTTATTCGGGTATGTATATATTTATATATGTGGATTCATGATTCCAAGTGAATTTGCTAGCTCAATTGGGAGCTTCATTTATCTTCTTTCTTTCGAGTAAAATTGTCCAGGCCAGGCCAGAGGGGACCCTTACGGACGTACTCAACCTTTTTTTCCACTATTGCATTAGCTATTATAGAGTTGTTGGTGTTCATCCCATGATATTCTGAACTTAAAATGTATTTAATTGACTTCACTTGTGGTACATCCAAATGCTACTCAAGTTTCCCAATTTTCAATCTGTTTTGCATGGTTTTGGTATCGTTTTAAACACATCTCATTCTCTACGTACTCTTTTTTTATTATTTTGAAATACTGTTAGGATAAATTTCTCTATCAAGTGTTACACTTATGATTTTTTTTACTCATATGAAATGCCCAGTACAACTAAAAGCATCTCCAAGAGAATTTGGAAAAAATGGTTAGTTAATCAATAGTACTTTGCCTGTTAAAATTTTCAATTCCATTCCAAGAATGTAGGGTAAAATATAGACTTTAATCAATTTTCAAGAGGCAGTAGAGAGTTTGTAGATCAAATTGGTTCCTTTTTTAAAAAATAGCTCATCTGTTAAATGATTGAATTGAATTGAATAGTGGGTACTTGTCAATTATTGTAGGAAATGCCAGAAGAGCAATGTGTGCATCACGTAAAGCAGCTGCATCCAATTTTGAGTTGAACAATAATAATGGTGCAAAATATAAAGCTGAAGATGCCACAATCTATTTTTGTCTGCGAATCTTTTACAACTCTGCAAATGAAGCAGAAGATAACTGGTTTTCTATTCCAACATGGCAAATGCCTCTTAGTACAGACAGATTCATCCGTCCCATCTTTAAGGAGCCAGGTCGAGCCGTTACCTATCATGATACTCCTCCAATTGCGGTAGGGCCTTATATCTTCATCATCCATGAGGTAGAGAAGACCAACGAGGAAGAGATGCCCTCGTGGTCTGTGTTTTATCGCGATACACAAAATAAGAGCAAGGACGGATGGATGGAAGCTCCGCGCCTGCATGGAGACACCAATGGTTACTACTTCTTTCACGCCAATGACAAGATTTATGGATTGGGAATCCTTGGCCGCTCATATTTTCGGGGTGGCTCATATGGTGATCCAAAGGATCTCTCATTTGATTTGAGGTGTCTTGATTGCCGCCATGAATTGAACCAAAGCTGGCAGTCCATATATTCCAATATTCCCATTGATAGTATTGAACTCTCAAACCACTGCTCGAACAAAGTTCAGGCATTCAAACTTGAGTATGCAACTACTACTGATTCGGCTACCGGTAAAACCAAGCCCCATCCTAGGCGTGCGTTGATATTTATTAGACTGGGGTGCTGGATTTCCTATGATTTTGAANGAACCAAAGCTGGCAGTCCATATATTCCAATATTCCCATTGATAGTATTGAACTCTCAAACCACTGCTCGAACAAAGTTCAGGCATTCAAACTTGAGTATGCAACTACTACTGATTCGGCTACCGGTAAAACCAAGCCCCATCCTAGGCGTGCGTTGATATTTATTAGACTGGGGTGCTGGATTTCCTATGATTTTGAATGCAATGAATTCAATGTGTCTAAGAAGGTGCACAAAATTTTCAGGCAGCTGTATGACTGCGAAGCTGTAAGTCTTGGGGATGTGTTTTACTCTTTGGTCAAGGATGAGCGGCGAGGTGTAATAGTCCCTCTTATGGCCTACATCCACCCCTTTTCTGCCGATAAAGGGTACGAAACTCCAGTGCTTGGTTTGGGCAACATAGACAATGCTTTGCCAGTGGGCTATAGAAAACGTGTATATTCAGATATTGAAGTGGTACACCCCCCTTCAAAGTTGTTGCTCATAGGCGAAGGACGTCTCTGTATTCTTTGGGCTGAGATGCGCCCTCCCACCAAGCTTATTTACTGTACCGTATTTAATGTGTGTGTGGAGGGTGATGATGAAAAGCCACACGCCGTAAATGTTTCCACCAGGGTGTACAAGGTCAGGGGTGCTCATGGGCACAATTTACATGCTGTGTAAGTTCTTTTTTTCTTCTTTTTTTTTTGTTTTCTCTAGGTGCTTGAGTACGTGTTATATATATATTGCTCACATGAAAGCTAAGGTATTTCAAAAACATCATTTGTAATGGTTTTGCCAATTTGTTTAATTGGAAGCAGCGCTATTAGCGGTAAGATGATATCGCAATTCATGAAGAGAGAATCCACACAGGCTGGAGGCTGGTTTGAGGTATGCTACGACGACGTTCATCGACTTTATATGTGTCCCATTGACTGAGTGTGTTGTATGTATAGTCGGCTTTGTTCATACATTCGCCTTTGAGGCTGCCTGAAACAAATCTGTTTGAAGCCGATTTCAAAACTTGTTAGTCTAAGTGTCTTAACATCAAATTCAATTATCCTTACCCCATCCTAACTTCTATCAAAACTTATTCTGCAAAACAGTCTTGGTTTTTGTTTGAAATTGATTGTGGATTTGTATTTGACAGGGAAGCTCTTCGAAAATTGGATGCCAAGGGAGGGGGAGGCAAGTAAACAAAGAGAATAAAGAGGAGAAGAGGAAGAAGAAAATTAGAAGAGGATAATAACAGAGGAAGACTGAGGACAGAGTTGAAAAACTCCAAACCGAAAGATTGAAAACAAGAGGAAGGCAAGGGAATCAAAGCCAAAAGTTTAAGTAACTTTCTCTGTCGTTTTAATACCAAACGAGGTGAGGGACTCATTTCCCCCCTCATCCCTCCAACCAAACATGCCTTTAAGGTCCTTGGTAGACTTTTTACATTAGCCAAATATTTTTTTAATATTATAAAAACTTAATGTTTAGAAGGAATGTATTGAATTGATATTACATTTTAACACAATGTTGTAGGGGTGAACAAGTATCAATAAAATTGAGAAAACTGAACTGAAAAATAACAAACCAAGCAAATGCCATAAAAAATCGAACCCAATGATCGGTTCGGTATTTGGGAACAATAAGAATAAATCTTTCATATTGAAAATCTCAGACTGAAAAATTTCATCAAAAATTATTATGTGCAGTTGTGTGCATTGTACATTTAATTCATTTTTAACTTTTGTAGATTATTAAAAAAATGTTATCACACATTTGAAAGAACTATTTTGTTATCAATTGTTCTTTTTAGTTTGTGATAATATTGACTAAGTTTTATAAGTATTTCTTGCATTTAATTATACATTTTTTTATTAAATGTACTTTTATTTTTATAAATGAAAAGTTTTATGACATTTTAAAGTTCAAATTACGTATTGATGTAATCTTCTCAATTTGTATTAAATCTGATACCAAACCATCAGAATAATACCAAACCAAAGTTTTGATAATATGATATAAAATCTCATAACAAAACAAATATTTGATATGATACCAATAGAGGCTAAATAATGTACTATGATAGCCTCTATAATATAATTCCCCATATCGAGGTATAAATTTTGCCCAAAAAATTAAATTGGAAGAATTTCTGGATAATGAGAGTAGTATTTTGTCGCTGAAATTAAAATAACAAATCTAGATAAAATAAGAATTACTCCCTACATCTCATTTTTTAAAGTCTGTATCAGTTTTAATGTTTGACTAAATTGTTTTTAATTTTTTTTATTGGAAAATTTTGTTGAAATCTAAAATCAAAATGTACGTATAAAAAATTGTATAGAACAATCTACAAAAATGAGGCGATAATGAATAAAGAAAGTGAACAAGTACTATAATTTAGGACGAATGAAAAATAAACTACTCCCTTTATTTAAAAATTATCTTCCTGTTGTGCATTACGATGCTTGAATCAAGTTATATTCAAATTGTTTTATGTGAAAAATGATGTGAAATTACAGTATTAAAAACATAGTACATAATTAAATACTACATCAATGTTATTTCTGCGACATTCAAAGTTGCAAATTATAGTCATCAAAATACTTAGCCACACCATGAAGATTTGAGAGCGTGTTATTGAGTTTAGGTTGCAGAAGGGCCGAAGGGGGTGTGCATTTCCAAGAACCAGTTTGGTTTCATGCTTGGCAGATCGACCACATAAGCCATTCACCTCTTACGGAGGTTGGTGCAAGAATATAGGGCTCAGAAGAAGGATTTCATAACGTAACAAAATATTTGAGATGATACCAATACAGGCTAAAGGATGTACTATGCTCATCACTATAATATAATTCCCCATATTGAGGTAAAAAAATATAAAATTCAACCCAAAAAATTAAATTGGGAGAGGCTCCTATGGCGGTGTCTTGAGTTGAGAAGGGTTCGAATCATATACATTCATGCAATTAGAGATATGTACGAGGAGGTTAGTCCTTTCTTGTTCGCTTTGGTGATGGACGTCCTGACGCAAGAAGTTCAAGGAGAGGTTTCCTAGTGCATGTTTTTTGCTAACGATATTGTGCTTATCGGTGATACTTTGGTGCGTTCCTTGGAATGCAAGTGACTCAGACTGAAATAAATCAAATAAAGTAGGACAACATCGTGTTCCGGATCATTCCGGATCCTGTAATAATGTTTACTCTTCTCCTTATTTTGGTTAATTTTACTCCCCCGTCACAAGATAAAGTGCCACATTTTTCATCAATTCCAAATTACTTCTTCCATCCCAAAAAAATGTTTGGTTAAAAGTAATGTAGAGGAGAAAGAAAAATTGTGACCCACAAAGTTCTCTTTAAAAGGAAAGAGGAGTCTTTTGTTTCTAATTTTTTATCCATCCCAAAATTAAGTTTTTGCCTCATTTCGTTCCTTTCTAGCCCTAGTTTTTTGGTTTGTTCTAAATTAAATTTCACTTTCAACACTTTTTTTCAAACTAAAAAAAAGTTCTACATAGTTGGTGTAGATTCAGAAACTAAGTTAATATTAGACGACCAAAAAAGTAGGTGAATTAGAGATGCTATAAGGGTGAATCATTTGAGGAGTTTACCCGTAAAAACTAACAGACAAATTAAAAAAGAAATTAGACAATATAAATTGAACCGCATCCCACCTCCAGCAAAATAAAAATACCAGTAGGTTGACAATTACAGGAGAACCATCCTTTCATCCCAACTTAATTATCTGTTGTTGTTTATGATATTTGACTGAAATTATTTTCAAATCAATTTATTTTAAAATTCATGTAGAGTTAATTCATGTAGAGTTAAAAGGTAAAAATTATATATTTAAAACTAAATTCTAGAAACAAATCAATGGTGACATAACTATATTATTTAATCATAAAAGTAACAAAAACAGAATCAACTTTTCACAACACCTCACAAAAAAAGCGGAGTGAAGCCAATAAGAAATGATCAAGAAAGAAAGTATTTGCAATCCCAGGATTATGAGCAAGGGGTTCTGCACCGAAATGTAAGCCACCATTAAAGCTCTTCTCACATTGCTGCACAGATTCATCCCAAACACAACTCAACCATCACCATTGGTAATGTGCGTTCAACCGGACAAGGGTCCACGCCCACCACGACTACCACGGACTCGAGCTGCTCTAGCGCGGGACCTGAGCGAAGGCGATGAACGCGCCGGATTTGAAGACGGTTGTGCTGTTCTTTCCCTCTGCCTTTCTCTTGCTCTTTCCGCGATATTAATTGTTCTTGAGCTTCTGGGAGCCACTGTTGCCTGTTTTACTTCTGGGTCAACTTCTGGGTCGCCTGTAGGATTATTCTCTTCCTTCACTGCCAAAGCAGGATTGCTGGTGGTGCTAGTGCTGCTGGCTGGGAGTTTTTCTGGTGTGGTTTCCGGTTCCGGATCAGACTCTGCAATGGCCTGATCACTACTACCACCACCACCACCATAGTCCATTTTGTCTGTAATCTCACCGGGTTCATCCCCTCCGTTGTCATCATCCACCTCACCAGTTTCGGTAAAGGGATCTTCGTCAACACCAATTACATTCTCAGGTGTTGCTACTTGTTGCTCTGACTGGCCAACATCTGGGCTTTCCATTACCAAGTAGACACTGACATCCTCAACATCAGCTACATCTCCCTCCTTTTCACCTCCAAATTCTGTTTCTGCTCCATGGGTGATGACATCTTCTTGTTGCTGTGTCTGAACATGTTCATCTTCCTGGACAACATCTTCCTCATCAGGCCTGCTACTGTCCAAAATGTCTTCTGCCATATCATCGCACCTGTCCACGTTTGCCTGATCAACTGAAACCATCTCTTCACCAAGCTGCTCCCCTGCTCCTGTAGACACTGCCTCGTCCTTCTTGTCACCCTCCTCCTCCAAACCTTGGGTCACATCTCCAACAACGGCATCTCCTTCATTGAAGGGGACAGACTCCGGAACTAAATTATCTGCAGATTTTGCTTCACCACCCTCCTCGTTTATTACATCTGGACCCTTGGCCTTTTTGAACAACGGATGAATAGGATCAGCCCTTGCTTCTTCAGAAGCCGCTGGAGTATCATCTTGCTGTAGCTCCATTGTAGATGTAGCTGATGGGCGCTTGCGAGCAGATAGCTGAGAAGGCACCACGATTGGATTGTCTTGAGTTTCCGCAGTATGAGAAGCCATCTGTTTTTCACTTGCACCCACTGCTTCTGCCATCTCTATATCATCGTTATGATGAGGTTCTTCAGATTTCACGATACGGGGACGGACCAGTTTCCTAACCCCTGCTTTACGGGATTCGGGGTTACTAAACTTTGACAATATCGACCTTTTCCCTCTATCATCTTCTGTTTTTGCCAAGGTAGATAGAGTTGACATATTGGTACTTGGCACATCGGATTCCACCACAGGACCTGGAATTTATTTATTTTTTTTAGATTACACCATTCATAAACTGGAAGACCTTAAACAACTGAAAGCACATAAACACACATATTGTACCAATTGATAATTGTGAGCTCACTGGGCCTGAAGAAATGTCTACAGCAGATGAAGAACCGCCATCAATGCATATAGGTTGGGCAAGTCTTTCAAAATTACTAACGGCCTGGATATAAGCAGCTGTGAAGTCTGGTAAGCGGGTTCCAGCAAGAAGCTGATCCACTGAAGTACCACCCTAAGAAAAAGAGGAGAGAGTCACAAACATAGAACCGAGAGTTCCAAGATCATCTGATGTAAAGAAAGACAACTACTACCGATAAAGAAAACAAGGAGAAATAACTGAAGGAATTGAAAAAGATCAGGACATCATTACCTCAGACTGACTATTGTCTTGCCTTAGTTTCTTCTCTTCTGTCAACATTTTAAGAGCCTGCTTATGCTTCTCCAGTTCATCCAATATATTTGATTGTTGCTGTGGGAAGTACTTAAGTTCTTAAGCATGCAATTACAGTACTACTTCTGAGTAGAGCAATAAGAAAAAAAACTTGGGATTGGAATGCTGACTTCTAATCCCTACCTGCTTGACATGATCCAAGTACTCTGCACATAACTTTTGATTCTTAATACGCCTAACTTTCTCTGTCTTATTTTCCTCCTTTTCTTTCTTCAACTCTTCCCTGTGCCTTTCTAATGTTTTCTCCAATATCTTGAACAAACATTTAGCAACACGAATATGAGCAAATATAAAACAAATAATATATATAAATAAAAGGGCCAATCACCAAGCATACCTGTATTCTGGTGTCTTTCTCCTTATCCTTCTCTTTTAATGCTTGTTCAGTCATAGCCTCTCCATCATTTCTTCTCCCTGTCGACAATTATAAACAAAATAAAAAAAAGAACAGATATCGCAATCTTGCAACTATGCAGTTAAGCACAACTAAGACCTTGCAGAGCATCTTCTAATTTCTTGGAAAGAACTTGATTCTCCTTGGTCAGATCCTCTTTTTCCTTCACTAGGTTCTCTAACCTCTTCTGCAATTAGAGTGATAATTGGAAACAAAAGGAAAAAGAAAGAAAAAAAAGTAAAACTGGAAATAGGACAGGAACCAAATTGGTTGCTGCACTGTAGTCAATAGAAGAATGTTTCAAATCAGTATTTGGCAAGGTCTAATTTTACCTTTTGTACATGGGATGATCTCTTCAGTTTATCAAACTCAGATCTTAAAGAGGCCTAAAATGTAAGAACAACAAAAAACATAAAGAAAACTACAAAAACATGGCATTCAATGATGCTAACTCTCCAAAGTTGAAATCAATACCTCAGATTGCAAAAGCTCATTTATTCTAGACTCCCTCTGACTCAATTCCACTCGGTTCCTTGCAAGGTCTTGCTCAAGTGCAGCTATCAACTCTTGTTTCCTCGACACAAGTTTCTTAATTTCCTCCAATTGATCATCCTTTTCCTTCAGAGTTGCCTAATTGAAACCAGAGTAAGTCATGGGAAAAGAGTGGTTAAGAGAAAGATAATAGCAGTAGATTGTATTGATATATAAGGAATACAAATTATGCATACATCAAGCTCCATACCCCGGGTCTTTTGTATTTAATGAATACAAGAGTACCCCATACACACATGATCAAGGGCATACCATTGCTAATTCGGGTTACTTGTTTTGAGATTAGAGTTGTGCTAAAGGGACTATTCAAGGAAGCTAGAAGAAATTTGGATGACCCAAATAATCCACAATGGGACAATAGAATCCGGAAGACAGACAATAGAGGCCCTAGTTAAATCTGATGCCTAATTTCCAATTGACTTCCCGGTACTACGATCAGTCCATCATGAAAAGCTACAGAATTAGATGAAAAGATTAAACAGTTCAAAGAGCTGATGAACAGACTTACGGATATAAGATTAAACAGAATTTGCACAAAAAAGACCAACTCAAGTGAATGAGGTGGAAGGGATGAAGAATGCCCGATTCCTTTTGCTGGGGCTGTAAAACAGTTACCTTAACTCACCATAGGTAAAGACATAGACAAGTGGAGATTGGATGGAAGATGCCAAAGCATTCAGGACTACACACTGTCATGAAAAACTACCTTCTCTGTTAAAAGCCCATAGACAACTTGGCCTTTGAACTGCATTCCATTACACAGAAGTCGACCATGACGAGCAGTTGGTGCTGCTGACAACATAGCGCTTGAATGTTGATCTTGACAAAGCCCTAAATATAAAATACAATTTCTTGAAAATCTGTGAAGGACATATGGCGGCAGCACTTGGTCTAGGTGGTGTTAGACAGAGACCTCCGGATATGGACATGAGGAAACCAAGTATATGGCCAAAAACAAGGAACAGTAGTTTGGCAGACAACACCTATTGTTATGTATGACTGCTGATGGCAACAAATTTGAGCTCTGAGATGGTTAGAGAGTTCTGATTGTGATGTCGGTGGCACTTTGTTGATATGACCACCAGAAAAAATAGTAGTGCAGCAGACTACGGTTGAGACAAAAGGGAAAACAAATGGCAAAAAGTTTTGGCAAGAAAAAAATACAGAGATAGGCGTATGAAAGAGGGCCCGATACCATGTGATCATGTGATAGAATGTATAAAAATAGATAATAGAATGTAGTGATATCTGATTTACATAAATAAAATACAAGAGTACCTTGTTTAAAGGCATATTATAAGAGGGTTAAGTTAGGTAATTAGGGTTACGTGTTCAGAGACTAGAGCTTGGCCCTAAAAGGATTGGGGTCCGCACTGTGAATATTATATTTTATGCATTCTGCACGTCATATTTACTATTCAACCACACACACACACAAATCTAACAAGAACTGATACTGGAGAACTAGATGCCTTGCAAACATGTTGTACCCACGCTCAAGGATGATAAGGGGAGGGCCCGGAGGGTAAGGCTGCATGAGAGAGATCGGGGCAAGGGATGATTGAGGGAGTTTCTTTAGAGAAGAAACAAGGCGAAAGAGTTGAGTTTCCAGAGAGAAAGAGAGAGGGAAGGGCGGTGAGATGAAGAGAAGGGAAGAGAATTCTTGTTTGAGAATATAAGGGAGAAAAGGGAAGCCTGTGAGAGAGTGGGAGAGGAAAGGAGGGCAGTAGTGAGATGAGGTAGAAGAGATATTGATGGAGATATTAAGAGAGGGAAAGAAGCATTTGTCAAGTTAGCATTAGAGATATCACACACTCTTATCTTAACTCAGATTTAAGTCTAGTAATCAAATATGATATTATTACACACTTATTTGATATAGCTAGAACCTAAAACTCACAGCTCAGATTAGAATTTTAAGATTAAATAGTATCACACTATTTTAGCAACTTGATATTTAGAAATATATCTCTAAAATTCAGAATATCAAATTGTGTTTTACAACGGCCAAATGGCTGAACATATATACGCTAAAGAAAGAGACAAAACAAGCTAATGATCACGTGGAGACAAACTGAAATTTAGCAAAATAGAGGCCCTTTACACACCACACATGGATTCTTCACATGGGGATCATGGCCTATCATTTAGTGATGAAAAACAGGAGAGAAGATGGCTGCATTCACATGGCTCCATCCCCACATTCTAGACACATATAAACAGACAAACTGCCAGAAATTAAGAAGAGATGTTTCCATGTGTCCCTGGGTGAATTTGATCATGTTTTATCACCTTTTTTTAAATGAACTAGGTTAGACTATGGTAAGAATGGTTTAGTGATGTTGACTTTATATTATGTATTAAATGAAAGTGACATTTAAAGGGAGCAAGAAAACAATGCTACCTAAAAGTCAAAATGGATGTTTTATGATGTTTTCTCTAACATTTTGGGCAGGAGTTTTAGTGAATGATTTATGGATATAAAGTCAACATTTTGAAGCTATTTGGGATGGATATATTCGCCCAAAGGCACATGAAAGACAATAAATTATTAACTAAATGGGACACTTGAGGAATTAAGACTTCACTTGCCTTTTTTTTCTTTCTATTTTATACAAAAGGGTAAAAATATGTAGGGATGACTTTATCTTATATCAACACACAATAACAAAATACTTTTAGAAATTTGGGAAAGGGGTTTAGGCTCCTTGTTTCAGGCTAGGTAAGGATTGGGCAGAAAAGGGGTTAGGCTTGGGCTTTCAAATTAGGATAGTGAATTAGTGATTGAACTCAACCCAAAAAAGGATTAAAATGTTTAGACAATAATCCCTGGTCTTGCTTACCCTTTTGTAATCTGAGCATAGTTTCCGCTGTCGCATCCCGGGGTAAAGAATACATAACAATGCACACCAAAGGACACATCAAGGGTGTTAACCTAACCTAACAGATCTCATTACTCATATATTGCATGGAGTACTAAATGCATTTTCACCTGCATATGATGAATAGCTTCCTTAGTACGATTGTAATCATCCACATCAACACTCTTGCACTTCTCAACCAACTGCAAAAAATAGTTATGTCAAAACCAAAAACATATAAGAGCCCAACAGAAATTTGGGGTGGAGAGAAGAGAGGAATAAGGTGCCTCATCGATTCTACTCTGAAGATGATGTTTCTCAGTTCTTTCAAAGTCAGTTGCCTTCCTCATAGCTTCAACATCTTGTTCCCTTTCCTTGAGAAGCTTCTTGAGATCATTTACCTCAGACCTATATTTCTGGGCAGCTTCCCGTAGTTTCTATAGTAAACAAAACTCAAGTTTAAAAAGTGATTTGTCTTAAAAATAAAGTAACAAGGCTGTTTGGGGTTATATTTAAAAATGTTGGGGATATAACTAACTTTTGTGGTTTGTCGACTAAAGCCAGTTTGTGGTAAAACACAGATTCCATTTAGTTACAAAAGAATGAAAAAGTTTTTTTCTACATTGTTAATCAATTAACCATGAATAGAATAATTCTACAATTAAATACACCACTTTATATCTTAAATATACCCCCTCCATCCCATACTTTTCTTCCAATTTTTATTTTTGACCACTCCCGCCTCTTTCTTCCAATTTTTATTTTTGGTGAGTCCCATATCTTTCTTCCAATTTTTATTTTTGGGTAGTCCCATATCTTTCTTCATCTTTCCTTATTTGGAAAATAAATAACACCAAGTTGACATTTTTACCCTTAAGCCACTACTCGCTACAGCCTTATATAATATGGTACTTCACCACACTTAGTCACTTATCCTAATCTACCATCCTATTTGCCCATCTAACCTACTTAGAGCTTGTACTCTTTATCCGATCTAATAAGTAATAATTAATGAGAATAAATTGAAGAGTTATGACTTTTTCTCCTAATTTACACTATTCACCATTTACACTATTAAGCTTTTTAAAAAAAATTCTTCAATTAAATACTCTAACAAAGGCAAAATAAGAATGGCAAAAAAGTTCTCATCTTACATTAACCCTGTATTCATCCAAAATAGGAAGAAACATATGGAAAGACCCGAAAGAGGGAGTAAAATACTTCAAGGATAACTAATTAATAAGCTAATCATATACTAGCACATGTTCTATATAATCATGCATCAACAATCTATGAATACACCTCAATGAATATATCTCATTCAATTTAGTACATCCAAACCTGACACTCTTCAAAGTTATGCTTGTTCTCTTCCCTTAATTGCACATTACTTTCGCGAAGCAAGGTCAACTCTCTCACCTAAAACACAACTTTTTATAATTAGGACATGCATTACAACCCAATTGAATACCACAGGAGTAGGAATTTAGGACGTGTGAAAAATTTTGGAAGATATAAACCTAACAATATTTTACCAAAGCATTACAATGCTCCAAATATCTCAGAAAAAGCCAAATTGGAGAGTTATTTTCACTCTGCCCAAGAAAGTATAGGGCATTTATTCATGGATGATTTTAATATAGAACAATAATATATCTACAAAATTGACCCTCAAATAAGATTGTTACATCATTGTAAGGGAAATGAGACTCTTCAATACGATACTGAAGCATTGACATTGCATGTTTTTATTCAGACCCTGATTTTAGGATCAACCATATACAACCACAACATTCAAGACATCATTGTGACACTGATGTCAAGTCTTGAACAACAATTGGTATTTAACATTGCTATCTATTTAAAAGCTATATTTTACCAAATATATATTAAATATTAATCTCAAAACATTATAGTAAACTTGTACATTCTTAAATATAATGTAATACCATGGAGTTTATTACAATACATTAAATATGTGAAATGCAAGTGCCAGCATGCATTTAAATATTTAAAAATAAATCCTTCCATACTACTCACCCAAACACTATTGGTAAAGAAAACCAATTTTTTTCATAAATAGAATATGGAACCTTTTTTGAGAACTGGGACAGACAAGGAAATGTAGAATATTTTAATTCCATTTATATTCTTTATTCTTCAATAATGATTATTATTGAGTATTATTTTCCAATTTGTTTAATGATCAGTACGAAATGTTCAATTTATTTAACGAGAAGAATTTCTTATTTTAATTATCTTTTCACTATGTATATTATCATATTTTGATGGATATATTGTTTTGTACAACAATTTCCACACACACACACACACTCGCCTTTTGGAAGCCTGCCTCCAGGTCCTGTCGACCACTCCTCACCTCTCCTAACTATCACCGTCTCTCCAGCCATCAATCGTCCTTGCAAAGGAGATTTTACTAGATTATAGTTGTTTTAAAATTATTTCACTTGTAACTCCTTTTTGTTGCCCTACCACTTGCCATGAAAAAGTACCACTTGCCTTCTTGAAAACTTTGAGCTAAATTAACACAAACTCAGTAAGTACCGAACTTGAACATCATCGAATTGATCCATTTGAAAGCTCCTGTTCCAGTACGCCAAGGTTCTGTTCGGATTTCGGAAAGTGGGAAAATAACTTCAGGAAAACGACTCTAGAAAATGAGTTATTTTTTGAAGTCATTTTCCTTTTTCTAGTGTTTGGTCAGAATATAATATATTTTTGTTTAGAATTTTAGGAAAATGAAATAGAAAAAAGGCATCCCAAAGCATCTCCAATCTTCATCGACATTATTGTTCAATCATCTATAAGCATTGTTGCATCCACCATTCCAGGCATGGTTGTCAAGTCGTCGCCTAGGCCACGACTAGTCGCCGACTAGTCGTCCGGGCGGTTTTGCCATGGCGATTTGCTCTCCGACTAGCGCCTAGGGCCGACTAGGCTACAAAGCGTGCAAAGCGACGCTTAGTCGCGATTATGCGCCGCCTAATCGGTGAAAGAATCTGGCCAAATTTGACCTAATCCATTCAACCCAACCCGACCCGACCCGACCCAACCCAAATTTCATTTATTTTTAAATTTTTTTTATAAAACACGCCTCTTCCACGCAATCCAACCACAATCGATAGTCTTGAGTGTCGCGACTCTCTCTTGAATTCCAGCCGTGACTTCCAGGCTTCCAGCGACTCTCCTCTTGGGTAAGATTTCTCAATGTTTACTTTTTATCATTAAAGTATACTCTTTATTAAAGTATACTCTTTATTTGATTTAATTTTCATTGATTTGATTCATTAAAGTATAGAGTTTAATATACTTTAAAATTTTCAGTTTTCTTCTGTTTTCTTAATATTTCAGTTTTTTATCTGATTTCAGTTAATATTTTGGTTTTTTTTCTTATTCTAGTGTTTTAGTATTTCAGTTTTTTTTTCAGTTTAATATTTCAATTTTTTTCTGAATTCAGTTAATATTTTGGTTTAGTATTTCTTATTTTAATATTTTCAGTTAATATGTTTTTCTTATTTTAATATTTCAATTTAGTATTTCTGAATTCAGTTAATATTTTAGTATTTTAATTTAGTTAATATTTTAGTATTTCAATTTTTTTCTGAATTCAGTTAATGTAGATATATATAATGTTAAAATTTTCAATAGTAATTGTGATTTGTCGACTAGTCTACGACTAGTCGCCTAGTCCACTAGTCTCTCCGTCACCGACTCGACTCGACTTGTCGACTTAACAACCATGATTCCAGGTCACTGCATCACAACGATTACCCAGCCTTGTGCATCGCAAATTGATGCAATGGAGACAGCAATGCTGGAGATGGAATGTGATGGCAATGTGGAGGTAGGAGATGTAGCCTTGCGATGGAGAAGACAAGCAAGAGGAACAGAAAAGAATGCAAAAAGTGAATGACTTCGAATATTATTCCAGAAGTCAAACTCTGTTTTTTGGTTGCAATTTCCCTTTGAGTTACCTTACTTTCCATTTGGCATTATTTTCCTTTGACCTTCCAAACACTCAAAATATGGAAAATGACTTTCCTTCCAAATACACAAAATATGGAAAATGACTTTGACATGTCATTTTCTGCCTTTTCAAACAGACCCCAAGAGAGAATTGAACACAGAAGCTAATTAGAATGAGAGATTAGCATATTATGTAGCTTTGTCAAAGCTATCCTACTCTCTTAGGAGTCCAAGATCTGGATATATGTAAATGAAGAAAAAAGCTAAGTGCATACTCCCTCGGTCCAAAAAAATGCTTTTATGTGTTACGATGTGTTAATGATGTCAATTGATTTTATATGAAAATTGGTGAGGAATTTTGTTCAAAAAAAATGGTGAGGAATTAAAAAAATCATATGTTTACTAGCTACATCAAAAGATCTACAAAACTAGAGGTGACATGACTATATTATTTTATCAAATGGGCAACAAAAATAAGCAAACCATGTGAATACAATTTGACCTGGTGAATAGTGAACGGGAAGAAAATTTGTGGATGGAGGGAGTATGACTTATAAGTTACACCTTTTAGAGTCTTGAGTAACAACAAATTATTCTCCAATATTTTCACACAACTAATTGAACTCTAAAAAATGAATAAGAATATATTAATACAAAAAACATAGGAATATAAAAGAGGAATAGATCAAAAACGAAGTAGAAACCTGAAGCTGTAGGCCTTTAAATTCATCTTCTCTATATACTAGAGCTTTTGCATTTTCCTTTTCAGCACGATATGATGCTTCAGCTGTTTCTACGGCCTTAAGAGCACTTTCAAGCTGAAAATTGAAATGTAAATATCATAAAACATTTATCTATGTGCAATATCAAGTCAGGAACAAGTATGTGCTAAAACCATCAAATAAAATGGAACAATGAGAGCACAAAACCTGAGATTGCAGGCGAAGTTTTTCCTGTCTCAGCAAAGAAATTTCTGTTTCTGCCTGTAGATAACCAAGTGAGGAAGTGTTTCAAAATATTTACAATTTAAAAGAAGTGCAAATGTAGACATACAATTTCCTTTGATCTCCTTAAATAGGTCACAACATTATGTAGGCCATCGTCACTTGCTGCACTAGTGAGTCCAAAATTTATTCCAGTTGAAATTCGATCCTTTTCAGCCTGTTTGATATGCATAGCCTCGAGCTGACTCAACAATATTTTGTTCTACAGAATAAGCAATGTCAATAACTGAAAAACTATACTGATAAAATGAACCAAAAAGAATATTAAATAACATCCCAAAGGTGGAAAGACTTTGAAACAAGGATATCAACAATCTACAACAGGTAATGACAAGATAACTTTGCTTGTCTATCAAACAAAATAATTATTATGAGAAAGGACAAACCTGTAGCACTGTATGCCTAGCTACTAACATTGACATATGTCCATAAAAAAGTAGATAATATCAAAAATGGCATATACATGTATTAACATAGAACCTGATCTAGCACAAAGCATAGTCTATCCTGTAAACAACCAATTACAAACATGACCTTACACTAGCATTGGATAAAAACTGATTCAATAAACACAGAATATTGACAAGATCTGTGATTCTAACTAGGACCACTAGATAAGACATTAAATGCCAGAGCATTACTAACCTGTTCATTGACCTCACTATATTTCAGATCAGCTTGACTTTTTAACTCTTCTAACACTGACTTTTCTGCCTCCCACCTTGCCTTCAGTTCAACCTGCTTGAGTATACAGACAAGGCCATCAAATACAATAAACTGGACAGAAGAAACAAGTGGTGTAAACATGGCCGACATGACAATGCCTTGGCTAAAACCGAAATGACGTTGAAATTTTTTGTTAGCCAAAATATGGTATTTGCGAAGAATGACAATCTATAATGCCACCGTATGGGAGAATATTAGCTATCTGACAATAAACCATGAAAAAATGGCTAGTCAAAATAATCCTTACAGCAAGAACATAATAAAAGGGAAGGGTTTACATTTTCATTTTTTAGCACATCTGACATCTTGCGTAGCTCAGACAATTCTTCTTGCAGTGAGGTTAATGCCTGAGACGTTCTAGTCAACTCTTGAATTGTTTCTGACTGCAGAATAACCTAAATTAAAAATACTGTCAGAGAAGCAATCACATACAAAAAATAGGAGTGTATTGTCTGTATCTATCTGTATATAACAAGTACTGTCAGAGTAAACCTGTCTTTCATAATTAGCTTGAGCAGCCTCCCGCCTTTGGCGCTCTTTCTTCAAGTCATCTTTCAATGAGGATATATGCATCTCTAGTGTTTCAATTTGTGATCTGCCAAAACAACAGAATGAAGTCTTACACGGAAACCTAGTTAAATTGGAATGAAAAAAAACACAAGATACTCACGTCTTCATAGCACAATCTTCTTTAATACGGGCAATCTCAGAAGAGGCAGATTCAAGTTCCTCATCTTTTCCAGCTTTTGCAGAAGTGGCCTCCTTAGCCATTAAATTACATTCATCTTCAAAATCCTTCACCTGCTTGCGAAGCAAGAAAACTTCCTCCTCGAGACATTTCTTCGCATTATCAGCCTGAAGAAAAGGTGACACAATGAAACAAATTCAGGAAGGCAACTTTGAATCAACTCTGCAAATACCAGTATTTTAAGATTCATATGGTGCCATTACTATACATCGCCAATGGTTGCCATACTATAAAAGAATATCACATGGCTGGGTTTCAACATTTAAGTCTTGCCACGATATGAAATATAGTTGCATTGTAGTTGTCTAGAAGCATGACATCACTCCAAAGAAGACATCTTTGTGATAATGTGATGAAAATGGAATGGCTTAGAAAAAGACATGTCTTATAAATGACTTGAAAATCTCCATGGTTAATACAAGAAAATATATCATTTCTTATAAATGGTGTATTGGTTTCCCAGCATAATAATATGATAGTTGTTCAAATTACACCTCCTGATGATATTCTTTTCGTGGAATGATATCCGGAAGCTCTCCGCCTCTCCGTAAATGCTCTCAAGAGAAATGTTCATGATCTATCTAGCCTGAACTCTTTCAAACGGTCTTTTATACAGAGCTATCTGTGTCTGTTCCACAGTTCTCATTGCATACAGTTCTACTCTGGGAATCCTATACCACAATAATCCAACGTTGATTTCTGCAATAATCTCAGTCACTCTAAAGACATGCCTTGGTCTACTGGGACTTGGAACTAAATGAGAGAACTCAAAGTCCGGTCAGCATCGTCCAAATTCATTCATGTCGAGTTGTGATTTCAACAACCAAAATTAACGAAATAACAGGATACCAAAATCCAACTGAAATCGTCCCCAGCCCTTAGGTACGGCGCACCAAGTCAGAATTAATAGCATACCAATCGCCGGCGGTACGAAACCAGTACAATTAATAGTATATTTTAGTTGATGTTTTGTTTTTCTAATGAATTTGTAATGTTATGCCCTAATGCTCATCTTATCTATTTTTGTTTACTTATGATCTGACTTTTGGCACACCAAACTGAGTGCACGGTACACCATACCGGTTCGTACTCCAACATTTATCCTTGTCTCCATTGGAAAAAATCTAATATTTTCCAAATAGTCTATTTAACCTTGGGTAGATCAAGAAACACAATCTCTTAACTATTACGTTACCTTTTAGGCCAATTCCATGACAGTAATATGTGGAACAATGTTTCAGGCGGAAATTTCAAACCTTCGATTATCTTCATCCTACNTCTATTTTTGTTTACTTATGATCTGACTTTTGGCACACCAAACTGAGTGCACGGTACACCATACCGGTTCGTACTCCAACATTTATCCTTGTCTCCATTGGAAAAAATCTAATATTTTCCAAATAGTCTATTTAACCTTGGGTAGATCAAGAAACACAATCTCTTAACTATTACGTTACCTTTTAGGCCAATTCCATGACAGTAATATGTGGAACAATGTTTCAGGCGGAAATTTCAAACCTTCGATTATCTTCATCCTACTTATCCAATTGTTTGTCTATCTTTTGAGTCAGCAATTTCCAAAACTAAATGAGAGACCCAAAAGGCAAACTTGAGGCAACACACATAAATTACATAGTGCAATTGGCTCAATTGACTCGATTCAGGTAGGCATAGTCGCGCTAGTGTGTAAATGAGACGCGTTTAATGTGCCAGCCCTTTCCAAAAAAAATTGCCAACCCATAGTTTTTAAAGGCCCATAGCCGAACAACTCTAAGGCAAGAAAACCAGATAGCGCCTCGCTTGAACCTCTATGGGTGGTAGAAGGTCACTCGGACACTTGAGGCACCTTTGATGAGGGAGGATATTGTCTTTCAAAACTATGGTCATAAGGTCCAAAGTTTCAGGTTTTCAAAGTTTTCATCATTAGATTGTGAGTAATGTCACCTTGGTAAACAATCTCCACAATCCTATTCACAAAGAATTATTAAACATGGACATATTATCACTGTTTATAGAAGAACGACTTGAGTAACTTCAAGTCAATTTAAAACTTTTGTATGATTATATTATTGTGCTTTTCCTTTTCCACAAAGGGAAGGCTCATTTATTTGGCCCCAAACTTCACTCCATAGTAGGATATACTGGGTTTTTTGTGCTAAAATCCAAGCTCTTGTTTGATCGTTCTACTTTCATTGTTTCAGATACACAATGTCAATGCCAAGATTTTTTTTTGCCAAACTATATGCAATTATTATGCATCTATCTAATATTATGTGTACGGATTGAATATTATTGAGAAAAGTGGTACCTTGAATGAAAAGTGAAAACAACTTTATCGTAAAGGGAAAAAAACATCTTATTAAATAACTGAATTATCTCACAATCACAAGGCTACAAATGTCATTTATCGTGACTAAATGTACTCGGTTCTATGATAAACCATGATATGATGAATGGGACAGTGACAAGGTAGCCAACTTCGAGATATAAGATTCTACATTCTCGGATATCCAAACCCAACATCTAAGATATATTTCTCTATGTAATGGGAGCAACGCGTCAACAAAATGCTAGCGAACTTAATATGGGATAATCAAGCAGTATCCACATTGCTTCAAATTGATGTATGCCAGGCAAGAGGACGTAGCATTGAACTTGTTGTGAAGATTGTACTCGGGCACATCGTAACAAGTCGAAATATAAAATAAAAAAGAATTTAAAAAATGATTTAGAGTACAGATTTCAGAGTTCAGACACAAGACATTGAATAAGGCTTCCCCAAAGTCCCTAACTAACATGAAGAGCAGAAATTCCTTACCAAATTCAAATCTTTTGGAAAGTGAATTAATGAAAAGGGCTGCACAAAATACCGTGGTATCAGGTCTCCTAGTTTCACTATGAACTTATACTATGTGAAAGAAATATTATACTCCGCCAATAAGCAGATTCATGGCGGGAATTATTCAGTTTTGAATTCAATAGTTCTAAAAAACTGGAAGATTGATAAAACTTCCGGATACTTTTTGGGGTTAAAAGATATGCAATGAAGTGATTTGACAGTAGAGTAATATTTGTATCGGATGGCAAGTAACATCTGAGAACATTGGATGAAATTTCTTCTAGAATGGAGACTTGAGAGCCGCAGGGGTAATAGCAAAAACCCTCTCAGGCTGGATGAGTCATGAGTGTACTGAGGTATATGTGTGCTACTCATACGACTCTAGGGAAGATCGGCTAAAACATGAATACACACATAGACACACTACACTTCAACTAGACTTAACGAATATCACGATGGAATATTTTAACTGATGCTTTTTCTGGTCAAAATGGTTAAAGGTGAACTGATGTTTTTTAGTTGACATATTTTTAAAAGAGCATTTTGAGATATTCTAAGGTATTTTTTCATAAAAATATTTTGACGGTTAAATTTCATTAGTTTAAGAGAGAGATCTTATAAAATTCTCTTGGTGAAACAATTGGAACGTGAAAATGTTGTTAAGGATCTCAAGGGAACACATTTTTTTTATTGTTTGTATACACAAGACTTCTCTTTTTTGCATGAAAAGATAGCAGCATACCTCGACTTTGAAGTTCTCATGAACAAGTTCCATCTGCTTCAGTGCATCTTCATTTGCATTAGCTATTTTTTTGTACTGCAGAAGCAGAAATTTAAGCAACAGAATAATACAAAAGCTATGTCAAGAATACAGACACATACCTGGAGCATATGTTCCTTGCAACCCTGTACTTCTTCTCTCAAATTTTTAATTTCCTCTTCTGCAGCACGCAGGTCCGCAAAAATCTGAAAAAAAAGGGATTGTTGTTGGTTTGATAAAATATAGAGGGATTGTTTCAGTTAGACCCTTGGTGCATTGATGCATGTACTACTTATACGCCAAAACTACAGTGAAAGTAAACAAAGGAAGTTTAATTTGCCACAGAGATCTAGTCAATTTTTTACCCAAAGCTAACAATTTTCAATTCGACTATTTTAGATCCATACACAACTGACAAAAGTAGATTCACTGTTCTTTAAGATAAAAAATGAAAAACTATGAAATAAGAACGTTTTCCTATGAATTTAAAAAGAATATGTTGCTAATTTAGGATATAAAGGAATGTAATTGCATATACTTGGAGCTGGAGTCATGTGAAACTTTCTACCCCGAATCCTTCCATCATACCAAACTAGGCCTGACTCAAAAAGACATTAAGTTTCCATCATCTCCCATGGAGCCAAAGATTCACTACTGTTTTAGCTTTGGGGTATGATTCAAGTTGCTATGCTTATGGAAATGATCACTCAATGTTTTAAACATAGGCGTCATCTGATGCCCCCCACCCCCACCTGCGATGAGTAGGAGCCTTTGGGGCACTGGGGTAATGTTGTTGTTGTAGGCCTAACTCAAAGAGATATCTAAAAAACCTTAGTCATGCAGTCGGTGGCTACCTCACTGGAAAAGGAAGGACCAGTTCCATCATCATTATCAGAGACCTGCAATACAAAACATGTCACATAGAGCAAAATGCTAAATACACTACAAATACACCAAAATATTTAATGAGGTACATATAGAAAGAAACAATTGTAGTAAACATCTTGAATTCCCAGCAACATCTTATCAATGATAATATCTTTAAAAAATTAGTGTGGAAAATAACGATGCTCCATGACTGACATGTAAAGCCTCTGTAAACATGACAATAAGTCAATAAATAGGAAGAGCAGCAGACAAGCAGAGGCAAAATGTGAGAAGATGACTAAATGAATTATCATACAAACAAAAAGGATAGAAAGTTGAATTTGGTCATCTCATTCTCAATGAAAGAGATTTGGACAGCAACACAAGAGCTTCAGTTCAGTATTAGAGGTACCTTGGTATGTGAAGATCTCAATCTTTCTTCCAAATCAACTGCACGTGCCTGAAAAAGTGCATATCATGACCCAAAAATTGTATGTGGTGAACAGCAGAGAAACCAAGATTAACAAAAAAAATTAAAATAAACTAGAATGAATGAAAGGAATGCAAGATTAGGCATCAACAGATATACCTCTGCAACAGCAGCCCTAGACTCAACAACAGCTAGAGAATGCAAAGCAGTTGCCAACTCCTTCCCTGTTTCTTCAATTTGCCTCAGAGCACTTTTTAAATCATTCTCTCGCTCAAGTGTAAGATTACGTACATTGTTACGCTCATCTTGCAACTCTTTCTTAGCTTCAGCCCATTCTTTCTGCATTATTTGCACCATTTCACGAATAAAATAATATCATAAGAGATAAGTAAAGAACTACAGAAGTTCACTTCTCCAACAACATAATGCATTTTCCTGATTTATCGAACGAATAAAAACTTTTGCACACACAAGACAGCTAAAGTAAACACATTTTCCTAAGTTATTGCCAGTCCTTTTTGGCTTTAATTTCACTTATATTACTCACGTCAAACTTCATAGTCCTTAATATTCCTGAAATTAGAATACCTCGATGTGCTTGACATATTCCTCTTGTTTTCTCCTCTCAGCCCCCCTAGCCTCCTGCCAAAGAAAAAATAGGTAACTGGTTTCATAAAATTAGAATTTGTCTAACAAAAACATCTGCAAAAGCATATCCAATCAAAAGATAACCTCGCGGACTTCCTCAGTGCTTTGAATAGTATCTAAACAGGCCTGCGTAGAAGCACATTAAGTTGCCAAGCCCACTATATCCAGACATCCAACCCCCCATTCCCCAAAAGAGAATAATACGTAATCAAGAATTAATGATTAATGATTATGGAGGAAAACAAAAAGAACCTGCAATCTGTGAACCCTCTCTGATAAACTACGTACTTCATCAGATGCTCTCTTTTCAGAACTAAGAAAAACTTCCTTCTCGTGCTTCAGAATTGAAATCTGTGAGGTAGACAATAACAATAATGATAATGATGATGATGATGATGATGATAACAACAGCAACAACAACAATGATAATATAGAAACCACTACAATGTTTCCAGCGAAATATTTATAAATCCCACCTCCATGTTTAATTTCCTTGAGAGTTCCTCAGCAGATATACATGACTCAGAGCTGTCGCGCAGCTTCTTCTGGTAATCCACGATCAGTTGAGAGAACTCTACATTTCTTACAATGAGAGCATTGTGTTCCTCTCTCTGACAAACATAAACATATTAACTTGATAATGTTTCTATTTTCAAAAACAGCATTTCAATCACTACTCATAAAACAGCACAGTCAAATCATTAGAAGAATAAATTCGAAATACATCGAGAGAAATGATCTAACCATGTGTTCATAATCTTTCAGAAATCTATCAAGCTTCTCCTGCGCAAATTGGGCTTCTAAAGCTGACTTATCACGCTCAGAACGTACTGAAATGACCTCACTCCTAATAAACGCAAATTACTTGTTAAAATAATAAAATATATCCTGTGGTTAAAAGAATCTAAGCTCAAGTCAAAATGGAAGGGTAGAATACTATTTATTGTGCACAATGTGATTAAAATAATATAAAGAAGAATACAGTATACCGTAATTTAACTACTTCATCTTCAAGGCACTTAAGGCGCTCTAGTTTCTGCTCATTTGCCATCAGCGGAACTCCCTGCAAGCTTACATCTTCAGATGAGAGGATTGACGCTGGGGCTTTCCAAAACTTTTAATATACAAAAATTTAACATTTGTTGTATCCCCTAGTACTACACCTGATCCTCAAATCCTTAAACAAATCAGTGGAATCATGTCTAAGTGTTACGATCCTTTCTGGAATGAATTCTCCAACCCCAAACCATATTACTTAACCCTGACAACCTTGACATTGTCCCCACCTTGTCCCCTAAAAGAGCCGTATACCCTGCCCAGACTACCCCACTCCCTACTTGAGTCACTCCATCAACATAACACATTTTGTGCCAAAAAAAACCATATCACACAATAAGTCAATTTCCTTTTTTATTTCCCTAAGCTAGGGCCGAAACACACCAAACCAAACAACCATATTTCATCACCCAACATCCCACAGACATTGTCCCCACCTTGTCCCCTAGTACAAATAACAAGCACAACAAGCCAAGGGATATTTGTGATTACTTTGACCTTTAAACCACCATAAAAGCCACCCTATAAAATCCATATTTCTCACACCCCACTGTTCCCCACTAAGGTCGAATGAATCACTCCCCAACCACCAAATATTCACCTCACTAGCCAAGCCAAAATACCCAACACATCACCCATCCATTTTGCCCTCTAATATGGCCGAAAATCCCCTTCCATTCATGAATATTCATTCACAAATCCTTGTCCCCATTTTCCCTGATTTTATTCCATGAAAGGACTCAAGCACATGACTGCATTTTCTAGGATTTGTGGAAGAAATAGCTTAGTATTTTCCCTTGTATGAGTGCCTTTAAATTTCGGCCATAGGCCTATTGTA